ACAATGGCGTGAATAGAACGTACGAGGGGTTGGGGTGCTTGTACAACTGTTAAGAGACAACTGACCAGTTAAACTAGCTTTTGTTATATTCATCCATCTAATGTATCTAGGTCGCGTTTATTATTCAAAATGTACAAATTCATAAAAGGGATCATATTTCTGATAATCTATAACACCCCTCCGGGGACGTTTTTATGACCGTCCATGTCAGACGTGTATCACCTTCACACGGTTGGATTTGCATACAGCTTCTCGGACAGGATCTTGTAATCCAAAATCTTAACTGCCGAAATTTATTATGCAAGCGGACGTTACATACTCTTGAAGGGATGGAATCGAAATTAATTCTGCATCTGTTTGTATTTTCCGCATATTTCGCTTTTAACAGTAGGCACCCCACAATAGTAGCTTAAATTTTTTCTAAATTCTTCTTATATTGCTATTTTCTTGTTGATTTTGGTGTGTATGCAGTTAGTTAGTTAGTGCGATGTCATCAGGCAATGCTACACAAAAAGTAAAATTACAAAACTGTTGCATAACGCAAAAATGCATTTGTATTTAGGTACAGAGTGTTCCATAAACAATCTACATACTTTTTTTCGAGTTTTCGAGTTGTTTTATATTAACTCGCAGAAGATGTTAATATACTTATAATAACTCGTTTAAAATTTTAATTTCATCCGTTTTACTGCATTTTTAGTTAAGTTTTTCGCTATCCAGTCAATGTCTTAATCTTAACATTTCTAGTTACCTGAAGATGCCTAACAATCGAAACATGTAGTATTCCAATTTCAAATTTCATCGTTAAATTAAATTATTCATGGGAAACGAGGGGGTAATCACTGTGTGCAATAGGTGGGCAGGTAGTATTGCAATGTTTGTGCAATGCGTGCAATATTTGTGTAATGTTTGTGCAATCTGTGCAATTTTTGTGCAATAATGGCCGAGGGTGTGTGCAATGTAAGTCCTTCAGTCCTTTGGGAAATCCGTTTTTTTCCCGTACCCCATTCCTGCGTTCACCGTTACCGTGGGAAGTTCTTGCGGAGTACACCTTCGAAGAAACCTACGTTTTATATGTCAAGTCTCCTTCCTACTGTTCCCGTTTGCGTGGGAATTTAGAATAGTATTTTACTCAAAAACTTCAGCGGGCATCTAACTGGCTCTGTGGGACACCGATATGTGCAATCAATAAAATATGAATAGTGGGGATACGTGATCTTTAGCCTTCTTACGTGCCGGGTTCAGTAGTCCGTGGTATAATGACAATGTGCACATTTTAAATCCTTTGAAAACTTCTGTGTTAAGAAATGTGGTTTCAGAACATATGTTGAAGATTTGTTGCAAAACAACCTATACCTATCACTTTTTAATTTGATAGTTTTTAATTTCGCAGTTTGTAATATTGAAAATATAGTTGATTTGACTGTTTGTGTCATTAGTTCTCTGATGCTATCCGTCGCTGTAGTGGTTCGTCTAATCGTTGTAGCTACCAGGCGGGCGGCCCGAGGTCGATTCCCGGTCAATGCAAATTTTTTTGAATTTTATATATTCTTTAGCATTTCTACATTTCGCCTGATAAGTGCTAATCCCTTTCATAGGGGCTCGTTATTTCTAGTAATGTCATGTGGGCGGCCCGGGTTCGACTCCCAGCCGATTCAGAATTTTTTTTAATTTTTTATGACTTCGAAAATAAGCCGAATTTTTAATTGGCCAATTATCCACGTTTTTAAAAAATGTTAATGCTTTTAATTAATTTTACGTTCATAGCTAAATTTCTGACAACGTTTGTGACCATAACAGGGCCATGTAATTTTCCATCTTGCTTTTAACAAAAGGACTTTATTGCACCAAAAATGAGTCACATCCTGTACTCTTCACCCTTTCTCAGAATTTAGGTACCTGCTAACCTGTCCCATTGTTCCCAAAAATTTGTTTTTAACCAAAATTGTGTATATGCATTTACTATCTTTGTTAACTACTGCTTAAACTTTTACAAATTTTACAAATTATTTTGTTAACTACCTTTTGGACTGTATTGATCAAACTGCGAGGTTTTTCTATGTCGTACTCTTTTTACCCTTAGCAGTTACTTTTGCGAGAGTACCACGCCTTTTGGCTTTGCTTACATTAATGTACATCAACTAAATTTCCGGGCTTTCACAATGATAATAATAACGATCATTATTAAACAAACTTTTCACAATTTCAGTGTTTTATTTTACGTTCCTTCCCTACTGTGCTTCAGTTCAAAACGTTGTTTACAACTAACGTAAGGGTGCCCTGCCTTAGATGTTTCATCACGTGCCACTTTTCAAATTTAAGGCCATTTTTAAATGTTGCCGGGTTGACTTTATTTCTGTGTTCTTGTAGTGTGAAGTTAGCGTAGAACCTGGGGGTTAAGTACACTACAAAGTTATGCACAAGTTTATTTAGGTACGGACCTTCTGTTCGAATTTTCTCTACAACTAAGTCACTTCCAATCGGTTAAACCGAAAATGGGAGTACAAACAGACAGACCTACAGACAATTTCCGTGAAAATATTGATTTTTGCAATACTTCCCTTACTATTTTGCGGGCAGTAAAAAAAGGTACTAAACTTTTACTTGTCAACTATCAACACTATTTGTTGGTTCTTATTCTCAAATGTCTTGCCTTTTTGTGTGACCTGTGCAATATCAATGAAGGAATGCGGCAATGTGTGCAATGTGCAATATTAGGACAATTTGTGCAATATTATTGCAGTGCGTGCAATACTGCACATGTGGTACCTCTGATAGTGATTACTCCCTTGATGGGGAAGGTTTAGAGTTGTTTACTATCCAATTAGATTTATATTAATCAAAAGTTCTATATGAAAATTGAACTTTATATATTAAAATATCATTTCGGGTAAAATTTAATACAAAACTCAATAAAATGACATTACTTGACCCGAAAATTAAAGTACTCGTCCCCAAAGGAGCCTCGTACTTCAATGTTTCCATGTCAGTAATGTGTCATTTTCCTAACTTTTATGTACCTAATTAACTATTCCAACGCTATTTAATATGATATATGATATTACTAAATACTATAATATTATCACTTTATCCATAACACTAACAATAACAAAGCACGTAGAACCACCAACAAAGTTCAAACCAAGTATGACAGCTTATTGTTGTCACTCCGTCGTGGCGCTGTAAATGGGGCGGAAAAAACATAATGAAACTTTTAAATAATCACTTAATTTTCTCGCCATAGTGCCATTTCTTATTAAAAAATAGTGATATTTACATTTTTGAAATCAGAAAAAAATGCTCTACCAAATGACACAAAAAGTAAAAATGACTTCCATAAGAAAAAACAAAGTTGATGATGGTTAACCGGAGACGAAACGTCAGACTTAAAATTTAAAACTAGCACCTTGTAGAGGGCCATGATAATGTGTCATTTATTTTGAAATATCTTTTTAAATAACTTCGATAAAAAATAAAAACGATTTTGCAAGATTTCGTTTTTTCAGGAATCAGGATATCTCCGAAAGTAGCCGGAATTTTTTCAATTTCAAAACGTCATGTTGTTAAGCATCAAAATACGCAACTTTCCCAAACTTAAACTACCTACCTATAAGTAAGATTCCATTTTTCTTTTTGTAACGGTAATAAAAATATTAGTAATGTGGCAGTTTAATAAATTTAAGTGGCACTGGAACTGCAAATAATTAAGTTCTTTGTGCCTATTGGGCAGTTACCTGCACACATTTCAAGATGGGGCGGCAAAACCATCTTGTGCCTCGGTTCCCTAAAGACCTGAATCCGCTAGCTGTAGCTAGGGGTAGCGCAAATATTCACGGTCTAAATATGAAAAAAAACGGCGAGACTAACAATTAAATTTTATTCTCTCTATAATATTTATAAAAATCTTGTCACCTGGGGCCATATCTCGACTGTACTGAGTGGCGGCAATTACGAATTGTGTCTTGCGCAACTGTAGCAGTACCCCCCCCCCCTTTCGAAATCGTTTTGTCCAAATTTTCATTACACAATACGACGGGGAATTTTTCTCATAAACCATATCCACCCGATCTTCTCCTTCTGTCGACCTTCTCGAATAAGGAATTTGATCACAGCTCTGTACTCGATTTCTGTGATTTCCGACATGGTGTTAAACGAGTGACAATTGTAAAAAAAACTAACGGCCAGTTGCACAAAAAAAATAATCCAGGATTATTGCTTAATCCGGTATTAAGACATTTGATTGGCTTTATATTGCAGTAGGCAGCCAATCCAATGTCAAAATTCTCGTTTAAACTCAGATTTGGCAAATAATCTAGGATTTTGATTATAATTCGCTTTCCTGCAATCGGCCGTAATTGACATAGATTTCATGTTTTCTCGAGTGTTTTGTTTTTTCAAAGTTAATACGAGTTTACGTGTCAAGTTGTGAAAATTTTGGCTGGCTGCGATCTCTGGATCGCTGTCGGACAGGAAATTTTTGGGGCTACCCTCGTATTGTTATTGATGTTATTAACACAAACATCTACGTGAGAGATACTAATACCAAAATATTAACTAAAGTATACAATTCTGTGATACCACACACAATAAAACTTTGAATTTAGGTACCTAAGAGGAACTGTTTTCTGTTTTTTTATATCTTTTCAAAAAGTGTCAGAAAAAAATTAAAACGAATTTGTTTCATTTCCGTTTTTTTTTTCGAATATCTTCGGATCTGACAACTTTTTTCTAATTTAACCCACTATGTATCTCTTATGGTTTCCGATTTCCACATGTGCATTCTAATCTTGGACACTGTGTATATTTGCATATTTTTTTGTACGTACTTACCTGCGTTTACGAGTTTCGTATTTCTTAGCTGATCGCCCGCACTAGCACTACTTGCCTAGATCACTATTATAGTATTGTCGCCATTTATTAAAATACTTAGTCACACATTTTTTGCTATAAATCATTTTGACTCTCTTATTTCGTTTCAAAAATAAAAAAGAGCCACTTACCTTATCTTGGTCAGCAATAACTATGTGGCTATCATCATGAAGAATAATTATGTTCTGCCTCCTAGAATCGAACGCGATGTTACGAACTGGAAAAGATTTACTCGGCCAAATCGATTGTTTTTCTAGTGCCAGCGAAAATGAAGTAAATCGTCTACGTTTAATATTATATTCGACCAACTGAAAAGAAAATATGTCAAGCTGCGTTACACACAAAATTCCTGTTACATACCTTGTGATCTGCGTACGTGACAATCAAATTTTTATCGTTCGGATGTAGTGCTATACTTGTAGGTATGCTGACGCTGTACCTCGGTAGCTTACAGTAGTGTTCCCATTCAGACTGCTGATTCAGCATCCATATGGCAATGTTACCAGATGGATCTCCCGCTATTAAATAGCGTCCGGACTGGGAAATTTCCAAAAATGTGATCGTATCTTTTAAAACTACAAATAAACTGAAAGGTTTAAAAAATACGCCTCTTCCGTCAAGAAAGAAGTATGAAGCTTATAACAGGACTTCTGTGCCAGATCGAGTCATTTCCAAACTCTACAGCAGCTACCAAGAGCAATCGGGTATATATTGAGATCCGGAATATTCTAGATTTAGAGGGATTGGTTTTGCCCAGCTTTACTCCTTCGTTTTTGTTAAAGGGCACAATGTCAAAGTTAAAAAGTGTAGGTGATCTCGAGTAGGTTTAAGGGCGAGAACCTGACGGGTTTTGATAGCTTTTGTAAATGACACCAAATCGCTGCGATAAGAGTTCACACGAGTCGTCCCATTGCATTGGTTCCGTTTGGTATTTTTTAGCCGGCAGTTTCTAGATAGGGATAGTAGATTCCATTTGGTTGAAGAACGCGACAGGGAGTCTCGAGGATAGGCGCGAATAAACGAGTTTCTGGTTCAGTTTCAGATATGACTTTAGTTGATTGAATATAGGTATTAAGAAAACACAGGCGATCAAATTGCGAGTAACTTGCAATTTACCACGAACTCAACGATGGAACAATTCTCACACAAACGGTGTAAGTTCGAATATAATTTTCAATGCACCCATATAGTACGTTTCGACTCGTGAACTCAACCACGAATCTCTCGCCCTCCCACTTCTTTCGCCCGGTAGAAATACCGAAACGGGCCTTCCATTATAAACGCAAATGACTTCGACTGGCGTGCCCTAACCCCGCTCGCTTTTCGCAATACGTTTCTTGTTATCGCCAGACGTACTTTCGTTCACGTTCGCTATGAAGCGGTACATGTAGAAATTTTCCTATACTGAACAAAATACAGGCCCGCATGAATAAAAGTAAGCAAATGCTTATACTTGCAAAATTCAAAGTAAATATATGTGATGAAAATTAATTGAGACTCAATTAATTTTCATCACATATTAATAATCACTCAAACAAAAAATGGAGTCCTTCATCAACAAAGTTTCAAAGTAAATACTCGTAAGTGCTCCTTCGCACTGGGCGACTTAGCAGCGCTTCTATGCAGAAGGACAGGACGCAGTGCAGCGCTGCTAAACAAACCAGTATAAAGGGGCACTTACGAGTATTTACTTTGAATTTTGCAAGTATAAGCATTTGCTTATTTTTATTCATACAGGCCACAAATTCGAAAAAATACTTTTTTCATTCTAAAGCGACCACCTGTTACACCTTTCAGAACGGTTATACAGCAGAAATGAAAATACGTACTATTTTGACAAATGTTTTTGTGTTATTTAATGCAGGTTTTTTCCTTGGCATTTCTTTATAATTTGTTTGTGTTTTGTATGCAACATTTATATTTTTTTATAATTTTCAATCTTTGTTTTTGAATTGTCATGATTTAATCTGTGCGTCACGTATATGGGAAATACCGTTAACTTTATTTTCAAATCTTTTTCATTTTTTATGCGAATCTTATTCAAATTATGTTTTCATTACATGGTCTTGACCAGAAGTAATATTCATAATCAATTTTGATCATTATTTTTAAAATGTGGAAGTTATCAAATTGTTTGATGTCTATACTAACATTTTCTCCGTGGTCATGGGGGTGGTAAATAACTGTAACATTAGTTACGACACCTATTCCCGGGCTTGACCTCGACTCTCAACTGAAAACTTGAATTCCCTGAACGAAGGGCAATTTACCTATCTCGGGGGCGAGATCTTGCTAACAAAAACTCTTTTGTTTAGAACCTATGTGCGATATAAGAATTGCGATTCACTGGCTTCCAGATATTTTGCCGTTTGTTTGATTTGACCAGCAATTCCGTGTAACATTCCATCTTGCTTTTTAAGAGAATAGTTTTATTGCGCTTCATGTGGCTCACTTGTTGTGCAGCTACGTTGTTTTGTTACCTGCTTGAACTCCAACCAGTTCCTTGTTTTGGAACTTGCTTTTAACCTGTTTTTATATCATGTTTTGTGAATGTAATTATGCTATTTATCATGTTTTATTATCAATCAATTTCAACAAATTATGTTATACATTGACAACAGTTTTACTGTTGCTCATACATACAAATTATACTGTTACGCCATTATACTGTTTTATTTTCTGTTCCTTCCCTACCATACTTCAGCTGATAGCATTGTCTACAACCAACGTAAGGGGGCCCTGCCTTAGACTTTTGATCACGTGTGACGTACTTTTTAATTTCAAACTTAAGCAGGTTGCTTTTGGAGGGAATAACCCTTCCGGTGGCCATTTTTAAACATTGCCAGGTTGATTTTATTTCCGTGTTAGTTAGTTACCACTACCTACACTACCTAAAATCAAATTGTATTCAAAATGGTATGGTTCCCTTCAAAATTCTTACTTGGATCAAAAGGAACCTATATATCAAATTTCAAAAGGCTAAGATATTCTGTTCTAGCGTTATCATGCGCACAGACGAACAGACAATATATGTAACAGTTTCCACAAAAGCAACTTAAAGATGGGGATACACTATCATAACTTAATGTGGATTGGTCCATAAGTGTGGATGCCTAACCCCAAACAGACAAACATTACCTTTTGTATATTGAGATAATTCAACCATCACTGCAAATTTGTTTGAGATTTGCTCATATTTCTATCTAAATTTCATTGTGGCAATACTGTTGTAAATATTTGTCAATGATTTGTGAAAACTTTACAGCAAACTGCAAAATATGCTTATATTATTCTAAAATATTTCGCCTAAAACAAAACTTGGCAACACTGTAGAATTTGTGTCAGCAAAGTAATTTATGCAACACACCTTGCGCTGCTGTTGAATATCTTGTCATAAGATCATACTTCTTTATAATCATTTCTCAATGCTTCCCTGCACTTACCAGTCTTTGTAACAATTGTCTGTACTAACATTGGAGCCCCTCCAACTAGTTCATAAACTTGTAAACCACCACTCTGGGGCGCCAGTATCAGTCGCTGACAGTTAGGTGTAAACACTGCCTGTAGACTGACAGAGCAGCTTTCGGGCAAATCATCTATAGGTAATAATGAAGGGGTTTCGCTTGCACTCTACAATTCGAGACAATTAAACAACTACAATTACACCCTCCAATACACACATAACTAAAGTTGAAAATTCGCAGCACCGAGTTAGTACTGAAAACAATCCACTTGCCATCATTGGAAATTGACGAACAAACTATTCCCTCCTTGATCTCGGCACCATCATTCTTTACCAACCTTTGCAAGGTGAGTAAGTGAACCGGTTCTTCCACAAGTTGCAACAGATCAGAATTCTGTTTTTTATCTGTACTCTTCCCCAAACCCCATATTTCTAAGTGATCAATGAAACGTAGTAAAATACAGCGAGCTTTCTTAGCGACAACTACGCACGGATTTTGTAAAATGGGTGGGTATTTTAACAAAGTTTTTGGAGGACAATAACTACAAGCTAAATACCCATCTAACCCACCCGAATACAACTTCCCTTCGTGTAACACAAGAGCTCTGACATCGTGCTCGTGCACCTTCCTCTGCACACTTTTCACCCACTTATAATTGCCCTCCGTAACCTTCACTTTAACATAATTCACTATGTTACTATCCACACCGGCACAATAAATCGAATCTTCACCTGCAGACACGCAAAGTGATAAAATGTCCGCCTTATGCGACTGGAAACTTTCAATCTGTGCACCAACTTTCCCATCATACATTGTAAGTTTACCGCGAGAATCTCCACTTACTATAGTCAAATCCTTTAGGATATTTATGCACCAAACAATCGTAGGCTGATTCGCTTCCGATCGCCCTGTAGTAATCCGATGCAAGGCATGTCCAGTTTTAACATCCCAAATGCGAATAGCATCTAAACTGCCAGACGCAATGAACTGACACGAGGGGTCGTACTTTAAACATAGTATGCGACCTTCTTGCTTGTCGAGAAACTTCTCAAACAGAACATCGTCCTCATCAACTTTAAAGATATTTAAATAGCCCTGTTCGGTACCCACGGCTATGTATCTAGCATCCTTTGTAACGTCAATACAATAACAAGCTTCTCCGGTTACAGTAACAACCCTTTTCTTCGTCAATGTGAGCAAGTCGTATTCGATTAGAAGACCATTTAAGCCGACACTAAACAAGCTGTCTCCACACCACGTTAATGCCTCGATGCTTAAATTATCGACAGTAGCTATAATTGTACGTTCGATACAAGGTACGTGATTTAAATTCCAAATTTCTATGGTACCGTCGGCCCTAAAATACAGCATTAGTGGAAGGTAATGGAATGGTAAAGCCTCCTACCTTGAAAGTGCAAGTTTTTTGGCTGTTGCGTGGAAAGTCATACAATAAATAGCTTCAGGTTTCGGTTTGTAGAATCGGACGTTGTGTATCTTGCAATTTGCCATTGTTTTTGTTTAAAATTAAATAATATCACGAAAATGTAATGGAATCGTTGAGGTTATGTTATGAATTCTAACCAAACACGTGTTTTAATTGCAAGGTTGTCAAACTGCTACATAGGTGTCACGTTTCTAATTTTGCTGTACAACACACAGGTACATAATGATTATTTAATAACAAAATTGAAATTTTCTTTAAACGTAAGAACAAGATCTAAAATGAGCAGTGGGGGTACTTATTTAATATAAATATATATAAATAAATTAAGTATTTAAACGTTCCAGTTACTGTCTGTTATCCTAAAAACTGCAAAAAGGAAAAATGATATTCTCGAAAAGTGTCATAGAGCTTTAGAAGGCGGCTAAATTAAAAAAGTTCCGAAAAGCTATAGAAAGGACCTGGAAAAATATATCTTAAAAGTGCTTTCGAAGGTTTTTCCCGAACAATGTAAAGCTTTCATGGCCTTCAAGGTTCTCTCCGGGTACGTTCTAAAGCCAAACTACTTTTTAGAACTCCCAAGACTCATTGTTATCCTTAATCCTTTTTGAGAGCTCGCAATGCTCAACTCTCTCTACAAAGAACCATAGGCTCTCACCGAACACCATAGGCCTCTTCCAGACTCTTAGGTTCACGTACGTGTAACTTTGGAATGTACTTTCTGTTGAAGGTTTAGTTTTTCGAAAGCTCTAGAAAAGCACTGGAAGCCTTCAAAACGCTTTCCAGAATCTTTACAATGCCTTACGGAAGACATTGAAAGGCTTTAAAATTTAAATAGCATATTGCTTTCTAGTTCCCTTTTAAAACTTCAAATGATCTTCATATCATCATATCATGCAGTGTACTATAAGTATGCTATTGCAGTTGTGAATTGTGATGTACATATGTACTATTCGTAGAGAAAGGAGAAGTCATCGTGCTGGAAACAATAGGGAGGTTCTACATTTTTAGTATTTGTTTGACCAACTAAAATTGAGAGATTTTGTTATTAAAAAACGATAATAAAAATTTGAATGCAAAATATTGATATTTACGTCCGCTGAAAGCATTTCAATTCAAGTTTTTTACTTGCGTCAATAAGACAGAATCCCTTTCGTTTTTACAACCCCTAATTTGCCTTCCTATGTAGGCATGCCTAGACATAAACTCTCATACAAATTTTTCTATGGGACTATGCAGACATATAGAACATTGGTCCGGTGATGTGCGCCACTGGAACAATTCAAATTTCCCTCTTTTGTAGTTGTCAACTCCCTTTGTGTTGCGTCATGTATGACTTTTGTGGTTGGTCGAAGTGGACGTAGACAAAAACAAAATGGCGAATAAATTAATCAATTTGTAGGTTTATTTGATAATTTAAGGAATTATAATCCGATTCGATATGGTTAGATGAAAAGTATGAGAAATTATATATCCAAAGGGACAGGTGCTCATGTGTTGACTGTCTAAAGTTAGTTAATTTGAAACCTAACCTAAAAATTTTTAAAGAATGGATAATACAGAGGAGCCCTATCTAACGCTTTTAAACGACGGTACAAACAACTACCTTTTACAAACTTCTGACGAAACTTTGGTACCCGATCCAAGTTTAAATGTGGAACCCATGTTTACCGAAATTGAGGATGGTGCGGGTGCGTGGTCTGTCGGCCTGCCAATTCTGATGAATGGTGGCCTTATCTCCGAAGGTAACTACTTCTTAATTAATTCAATTATAACTTTTTCTTAGTAGATCAAGAATTAGTACCTTCCATTCATTTACCAGAGCAGAGTAAGATTTCACGTGGTGGAAATCACGAATGAAATTGTCAATTTCTAGATAACGAAACAGTCCCAAGTATTTCGCCAAGCTTACCGGACCTTTATCAGGAGCCTATCGAAAGTCATCCAATTTTACAGGAGGAGAAAAACGAAAACGTACTTAATTATCCCATTGAAGTATTCCTCTCCACCAAATGCAACTGATACATTTTGATTTTCTAGCTACCTAGTAAAGGTTTTATCACCTCAGATGGGTTATTTATTTCAAACGATTTACTGTATCAATTGAAATTAAATGTCGACAATGACCCCAATACAAACACTGAGCCAGTCACTAAGAATAACAATGAGAATGGCAATGCGAAGAATGGTGATCATTTGTTAAACAATGATGGGCCAGTGGTTAATGTTGAACAGCTGCTGGGTGCAAAGGGCATAGCTAATAATGAGGGCATGTATTTTGATGTTGTAATGGCGCATAAGTGTAAGCAATGCGCTTATTTATGCGAGGAAAAAACTGCAATGTTAATTCATTGGCAAACCAATCACTTGGTCACTTCGGTAATGGTGTAATTCCATCGAGGTGTTCTTACAGTTAGCTTTTCCAGGATGTCGACGTAAAATCAAACGGTGAAATGAATCTGAAAAGCATATTAAAGCCACCCAGTGGGACTGAGACTGTTTACATATGTAGTGAGTGTAGCATGGGATTCGGAAGCACGGAAAAATTGAAAATTCACATGATGAATGTAAGTTTTGGGGTTTCCGATGTGAAAGTGTATTATATTTCGTTAGGTACATAAATTGATTCAGCATGTTAATGAGGAGGCCAATGGCAATGAGGTGAAGGTTAAGGATGAAAAATCCGCTCCAAACAATGTGTCTGCGAATAAGAAGATGAAAATTTCCCTGGCTGAAATTGAGAAGCAGGCCAAGGCATCGAAGAAATTGAAGTATGTATCCTTTTTAGCGCGTTCACCAACTCAAGTTGGAAGACGCTATTATAGTCACTTCCCCCTCCCGTTTGAGGTTTAACTACTCCACATTTAGTTCATCCTTTTTGAATTCGGTAGCTTGCGGCTCTGTCACCTGAGCCAAGAAAAAACTTGACGTTTTTATTTACTAATATATATTGTTGGAAGATTAATCACAGATGCTTCTAGCAAAGGCAAATGTTGCATATCGAAAAGCAGATTTTTTTAATTTATAGGTATGTTTCTTTGAAATTTTAACTAAAAATGCTTCTAGTGAAGACAAACATATCGCATATTGTAAACATCAGGTGTGTGCATGCGCAATGGCAACTTTCTTATTTATGGAGACATTTCTTTGAAATTTGAACCATAGATTTTTCTAATCGTGCTTGTAGTAAAGGAAACTGATCAATGCATGGAAAATGCGTTAAAAGTTACTCATCAAGGCGAAACCCTTTTTTTTAAATTTGGTATACCTATAGTGAATGATATCTGAAAACAATTGAGTGTCACTGATAAACAAAATTGGTAGGTTACACCTTGCATGAATTGTATTAGTGCATTTTAATTCTTAAATATTTCAATTAAAACTCATTAGTAAGTTTTGAAGAAAATCATTGAAGTTTAATTAGTTTTGAAAGTTGGTACAAAAGGCGCCCTGCTTATAACTAGAACAGAACACGTAAGTTGGACGTTGGGACACTGTAATTTCCAGGTAGGTATTGATTTACCGCCAAAAAATTTAAAACAGAAAATTTTCCCCATTTATGATGCTACAGACCTCTGCTTCCACTTCCGCAAGTGCATATTTTTGCACTTTCGCTTCCGATTCCGCTATTTTTAACGGATGTATACCGGAATTTTTCAGATATGGCAAGATGCGCTCTGATAGGCCGAACAGAATGGCGCGTCACGTCAGCTGTGGGCGAGGTTTGTTAGCGGACCGACCCTCGTACGTGTCGCGCCTTGTTTGTCTTTGTTTCCTTTCATTCATTTCATTAGTTCGCAACCATTCGTGCGTTTTATGCCAATAGTTTAATAACATAAATTTTTCGCTAATTATTCTAGTTTTTATCAAATTTGTAATGGTGCTGACACTTTAACTTCTGCTTCCGTTTCCGCATCCGCAAAACAGATATTTTGTCTTTTATTTCCAGCCTCTGCTTCCATTATAACACTTCCGTTGCATCACTAAAATACATACGTCCATCAGTTTGTTAGATAACATTTAAAAAATTGTCTGAAAACAATTAATTTAGTGGCGGAAAGGAAAATTCAGAAAAATTAAAATTCTAAAAGTTAAAAATGCAGGAAAATTCTAACAACATTTCGAAGAGATTGTAAATTCAAAAAATTAAGAAAAAGTCCAAATAAACAATTCACAACATGGTCCAACTAATTATTAGATTGTATTGATTTCGCCCAATAATTTGTAATAATAAGCATCGCATTAGCGAAAACCAAACATTTTCTCTCAAAAATTAACAAAATGTCTGTTCTTAAAAATTACTTATAGTTTTTGTGTTTCACATCAGCATCGTCTCCAGTATTTAAGGAAGCACCACTTCCACCATAAAATAAACTCCTTCAGGATTTTCATAAACATTGTCCCCATTGTGCTTCGACTGTATTCTGTGCATGCGCATTCTTTAACTTCGACATATACAAAACCTTTACTTATTAAAAGCCACCTTTCAAGTTCAAGAAAATATCTCCATAAGCTGTAAGGTTGGTGCTTTTGAGCACTTTATTTTTTATGTGCGCCCTACACTTACCCGCATTAGAAATTTACACCAGAAAAGGTATAACAGTATCTCCATAAGTAAGAAAGTTGCTGAATAGTATGAATTTTGATTTTTGTCTGGAAAAGCAACTATAAAAAAATACGCACAAAAATTCTAAGTAACATTGCATAAAATTGAGGAAAATTCGAAAAATTTACACTATCGAAAATATCAAAACCAAAAGGAAAACAAGAAATTGGATCATTGACCATGAATAATCCCTCGAAATGTTAGATTGAAACTACCCTAAAACTCAGCGTCGTAAGAATTTGTCTTTAATAGGAGGGGAAAGTCCTGTAGTCCACCACCAAAAAGTCCTGATTCATGTCCGTCTCTTCTATCTACAATCTCCGTCTCTTTTCAACTATGTCTTCGAATAAATCAAACACTTGTGTTTTCTCATCGGCGAAAAAACATTTGCGATATATCTTGAAACTAAGTAGCCTACGCAGCGATAACGCTACACATCATTAACTAAATAATTCTAAATAAAATAAACAAAAATTCAAATAACGATCGAAATACCATACTTTATATTATAATATAAATTAGAAATAATACCGTATACTTTATATTGCATACAAATTATACTAATAATTTGATAGGTGTTCAGTGAAAGGATGTGACTTACGTTTTTCATTGGAAGACATGCGTTCAAGGCACGAGAAATGTCACGTGGAAGGCGAAAAGAAGCAGTTTAAGTGCTTTGAATGTGGCAAGAAGTTTTCCATATGGCGAATCTGTAGCTTACATCTGTGGAAGTGTCACAAAGTCGATTTGGGACTATTCACATGCCCGATGTGTGTAGTTTTTAAAGCGAGTAGTGCAGGTAAAGAGTCTTGTATTAGTTACAATTAAACCGGCAATGACTTATTAGGCAGGCTGTTGACTCATATGGCGATACATGATGTTGAGAAACCCTTTCTGTGTAATGTCTGTGGCAAAAGCTTTAAACTGCACACCGAGTTGAGGAACCATCATTTTGTGCTTCACAAGGATGTGGAGAGCGTACGGCTGCCTGTTATGTGGTGATTGTGCGCTATAGATAAGTTTTAGGTTCCTGAGTGGGCCGTTCAGCAGCAATGTGATACGTGCAAGAAGTTTTTTGCAAACCCAAAAAGTCTGAAGAAACACATTCAGAGTGTTCATGACCAATATAAGCCGTTTATTTGTAATATTTGTGGACACAAAACTGCTCGGAAAGCAATGTTGGATGTAAGATCACGTTTATTTTACAGAGTCGCTTCATTCAGTATTTCAGCTACATTTGCGTCAGCACACAGGAGAAAAGCCACATCAGTGTCCAGTGTGCGATTATCGCACAGGTGATCACAACTCGTTACGGCGACACCTTATGCGTCACAGCGGGGTATGTTTTATTCGCCTCCCGAAATCTTGCTAACAGAATTCGTGCAGGACACAAAGTACGCTTGTCCCCACTGCAATTACCAATCGATACAAAGCACATCATATAAGAACCATATCGCTAGTAAACATCCAGGATTGGGAGGATCCTACTTCTGTAGTATCTGTTCTTATCATACAGTCAACGAAAATACGTACAATAATCACCTTACCTGTCACAAAGAGGGGTTGATAAACGAAAATGGAGATTCTGCTGGTAAGTTGATTGGAATATTGATAATTTTAGTATTACATTTGTTGTCGCAGATGCAAGCAAAAAGATTTCGAAGGATCCCAAACCGGCGAGCAGTCCATCTCGGAAAAAGCAAAAGGTAGGTTTTTATTTTGCTTACCAGTGGGACATTATTAACTCTAAATAGCAGTGGAATAACGCGCTGCAGTGTGGCTCCACCTACTGATGTGATGCTCTTGGTTGGGCAGGTGTAAAGGTTGTACAGGAGGTGGCGCTTCTGCAGCCCTAATTTTTTTGGGGGGATTTCAATGGTCAATGATCTATTTCTGTATTCCTCATTTTAGCAATTGTGGAGATGTGTGAAGCTTGCTCGATCGTTAGTGTACAATATCTCATTTTTAGCTTTTAAGTTGGCTGTGCGATTACAGTCGCTTTCTCTGTCCGAGGCCTGAACTACTACAGTTTAATTATTTTTATTTACTTCTTTTTGAATTCGGTAGCTCTGACACCCGAGTCAATTTCGACAATTAATTTGCGCATGCGCAGGCCGCGCATTCTCAAGTTTCTTATTTATTAATATATTTTCACTTTCCTCTTCACTGATTTGAGAATCTTCGTCTGATGTACCAGTGTTTACTGTGAAAGATAAACTTTCTACAGCTTCATCTAACAATATCCTTCATTTTATAAACTAAACTATTGGTCATAGGGACTTTTTTATCGATCGTGCATGCATGTGCAAATTTACCCTTCCCCCAACTATTTCGGAATGGGTCCACAATTCCCAAATGCTAGGTAATTGACCCAGTATGAACCTACTATGCGATCAAAAATGAGTTGCTGTCAAGTCACCTTTGACATTTTTGATTACATGGGAATCGTACTTAACTTGAACTTCCGAAGGTTACTCTGATTAGTTAGACTTTCAACCGACAATATGATCGGATAGTTTGTTGTCATTTCTCGTTGACTGATCCCATATTTTCTTGTTTAGGGCTCCCAGGAACAGGAAGACGATGAAACTCAGAATTACTTACTAATGTTGGATCATTCGAATGATGCCATCGGCGTAGACACGGGTGGGATAACTATACCGGCAGGTTTGGAGTTGGTAATGCTTTAATTACAATCTGACATCTGCTGTTCAACCGCATTAGTCAACAGTGACATTAAATTAGTGAATGTTAATGAAACGGGGAGTAATTGCAGATGTGCGTTTGCACATTTGATGTAACTACCTATCTACTTTATTCTAAATAGACAATCGTTTGTTACTTTTTGTATGTATCGTGCTTGAATACTAATTGTAAATATAGTGTAATTGCTAATTTATTATTATTTTACTACTGTACTACGATAGCTTGCCAAAAACAGTGATTAATTTTTTTAAATTGTATAAAATGTGATATTAGGAATAATTTATTTTATATTTTTATTAAATAAATTGTTATGGAAATAAGTTTACGTTCCTACAATCGGTTTTGGTCTCGTTTTGAATAGAAGTTTTCGTCTTATAATCGATTTGATGATGTACTCGGAGTTATCTTCGGATCTTTGTTTCTCTAATAGGGCAAATGGCTTTTCCAATTTTACTTCCTTGCCATAAAGTAAATGATGTCCGATTATTAGTGTGGGAATACCTTGTTTCGTATAATGTAAGTGTCCCAAAAATTGACCTTCCAAAGAAGATTCCGAATGTGATTTAATGTCTCCTTGCAATTCCACTATTGCCCATTCGTTCATCAGCTCACCAGCCCTAAAACATTAAATCGTTCTAATGAATGTTTTTTTTTGGCTTACAAGGGTGTAAGGATTATTCTTAGTTTAGATCGTGTATACATAGATATAGCTCCCATTTACTTTCAATAAGAAGGATCTGTGCCAACATAGTAGAAGGAGAACACCGCACATGCGCAATAGCATTGTAAGTAATACATATGAGACTACCCAGAATTTAAGATATGTCCAGTATGAGTGTGCAACCAATGATAAATCTAATATTATAAAACACGTTTATTAACCTACAAGGTTACCAAGGATTTAAAGTGTGCCCAGTGCGATTTCGTCACCAAACATAAATCCGATCTTAAAGTGTACATCTTAACATCTAATATTTGTTAAGACCTGTCAAGGATTTGAAATGTGACCGGTGAGATTTTGTCACCAACTACAATGCAATTTTAAAAAAGAGGTACACAAGACCAGTAAGAATTTCAAACGCGCCAGGGTGTGAACTACAACATCGCAAACCCGCTGCGTAAGCTAAAAATAAGCTTCAATTAAACCCACAAAACATATTTATACTTCGTGCATGATTTATTTTCTATAATTGAATTTACAATTTTTATACAATTTTGAATCATTATTTTATTTATGTTGGAACCCTTAAAAACCGAAAAAAACTGGAACCGAAACCGTAAATTACTGACGCCACAGAACCGGAACCGTCAAATAGTGCGGAACCGGAACCTATATTTCATATGGATTCCAACCCCTGAACCAAACACAAGGCGTTTAAAAAAATACCAGTTTTTGGGCCATTTTATAATCACATCCTATATAATTCAAAATATTTTTACAATTTGCAGAACAATCTAAAGCTCACTTTAGACGATACATTTTTTCAGTAAAAAAATTGTTTTCAGATCGTCTATCAAAAAATGGAACGTGTAAACGATATAATAAACAATTATAAAGGTGCATTTTAAAAATGCACACATTTTTAAAATATACAGAGCATGTTCAATTTTTCCAAGGTCAAATGCAAAAATTTTTTAGTAATCTAGTAATAATATCCTTTGAGGTTGCACAAGACAAAATACTGGCAGCCGCCGCGGGGGAGCCACAGAAACATACACAGACTAGAACGCCAATAGTAGGTAAGGATGCGCGAGAACAAAATTACACCACTGTGAATGTTGGTAATAGACAAAGCACATTGTCTATGATGTTGGTGCAGTTCTGAAGTAGTGCATTGCGTGAGCTTACAGATCCGGTTACTGAAATGTGTATATGTATTTCTATGGATCAGGTCTTATTATTAACACCATTAACGGTTGTTTTATCATCAAATTATTCCGTAATGTCCATGTAAAAGAATACCCAAAATTCCACACTTCGTTATCTGACTTTCCTCAATATGCATCTACCTACAATACTTCCAAATATTTTAGAAACTGGGACTGGCAATCTTTTAAATTTCGCGGATTCACGGTATCTTACTGCGCTAAATAAATTGAACAAATTCGACAAATCCTTATTTTATTTCCCATGGGCCATGATAGCCCTCTGTACTAACCGTTGACGCATCCTGTACATTAACATTAAAATGTAAGGGTTGGTAGACACAACAATGTAATAACATCGAATTTATAGATGATAGTTATAAATTCAATGGTAATAAGCATAAATCCTCACTACTTTGACTTAAACATTGGGATGAAACATGTACGCAAAAAATGTAGAATGCCTAGATTTTGGACAAAATCCAAATCTCGTGTAAACATAACTTTAAATATAATGGTTGCACCTGCAGGTTATTCAATTTTCTCAAAGTTGCCACCACTGGAATCGAATCGAATGTCAAAAGTCAAGAAATAGCATGTCAAAGTCAAATCAAAACACAAATGCGCTGTTTTCGTATTTACTTTCGATAATTACTTAAAGAAATACAGTATGGGGCCTCCTAAGAGACCGGGGTCGAAAACAGAAAGCAAATCTAAAAAACGCAAGAAGGACGAGGAAGAATGGGCTTACGAAGAGGAGGATACCTCGACAGATACGGATACTTCTGCTGTGCCGGGAGCCGCCGGTCGCAATGCGGAAAACATTGATCAAGGGGTGCAAGAAGACGAGTTCGGTTCTAAGGACTATCGCACACAAATGCTTTTAAAACCCGACCACCAGTCACGTCCGCTTTGGGTCGCGCCTAACGGTCACATCTTTCTCGAGTCATTCTCTCCCGTTTACAAACACGCGCACGACTTCCTAATCGCGATATCTGAACCGGTATGTCGGCCGGAATTCATACACGAATATAAGCTGACGGCTTACTCGCTGTATGCTGCCGTAAGTGTGGGGCTACAGACTCACGATATAATTGAGTATTTAAAACGATTGAGCAAAACCAGCGTACCGGAGGGCATACTCGAGTTTATCAAGTTATGCACGCTCTCTTATGGTAAAGTGAAACTTGTGTTGAAGCACAACAAGTATTTTGTCGAGAGTATCTATCCAGACGTACTGCAGAAGCTATTGAAAGATCCGGTGCTGCAGGAATGTCGACTAAGGCATAGTGTCGAGGAGGAAGGGGAAGAAGAGTTTATTACGCAAGTTCAGGATAAGCCAACCGGTCCCACGTTTGCGGGGAAAGCTGGCACATCAAGTGAGTCCCCTGCAGAGGGTGCTGCCGCCGCTGCTGATGTGCCGGATGATATAACTAACTTCTATGACAAGATGGATAATGAGGAGGAGGATGAAGACGAGGTGAATTTGAAAACTGTGTCGTTCGAAGTGAACCAGGAAAAAATTGAGGTGCTGCAAAAGCGGTGCATCGAGTTGGAGTATCCGCTATTGGCGGAGTATGACTTTAGGAATGATAGCGTCAATCCAGACATCAATATTGATCTGAAGCCATCTGCGGTTCTCAGACCGTATCAGGAGAAAAGCCTGAGAAAAATGTTTGGAAATGGACGGGCGCGATCTGGTGTGATTGTGTTACCGTGTGGTGCTGGTAAATCGCTTGTGGGGGTCACGGCGTGCTGCACGGTACGTAAACGTGCTTTGGTGTTGTGTAATTCAGGCGTATCCGTGGAGCAGTGGAAGCAGCAGTTTAAAATGTGGTCGACCGCCGACGATAGCATGATCTGTAGATTCACCTCTGAGGCAAAGGACAAGCCAATGGGTTGTGGAATCTTGGTTACAACGTACTCCATGATAACCCATACCCAGCGGCGGTCTTGGGAGGCCGAGCAGACGATGAAGTGGTTGCAAGAGCAGGAATGGGGCATCATGGTACTTGACGAGGTGCACACGATCCCTGCGAAAATGTTCAGACGGGTTTTAACCATTGTGCAATCCCATTGTAAATTGGGTCTAACTGCAACCCTTCTTAGAGAGGATGACAAAATTGCGGACCTCAACTTTCTAATTGGTCCCAAACTGTATGAGGCCAATTGGTTGGAACTACAAAAGCGTGGGTTTATTGCCCGTGTACAGTGTGCCGAGGTGTGGTGTCCCATGGTACCAGAATTTTATCGCGAATATCTCATATGCAAAACCAGCAAACGTCTCCTACTCTACGTAATGAACCCGAACAAATTCCGTGCCTGTCAGTATTTAATCCGCTACCATGAACGACGCGGTGACAAAACCATTGTATTCTCAGATAATGTTTTCGCTTTAAAACATTACGCGATTAAAATGAACAAACCGTACATTTACGGACCTACCACTCAAAGTGAACGAATCCAAATCTTACAAAACTTCAAATTCAACCCCAAAGTTAACACAATATTTGTAAGTAAAGTCGCAGATACCTCCTTCGATTTGCCCGAAGCCAATGTGCTGATACAAATTTCGTCGCATGGCGGTTCCAGAAGACAAGAGGCACAGCGTTTGGGCCGTATTCTGAGAGCAAAAAAGGGAGCCATCGCCGAGGAGTACAATGCGTTCTTCTACACTCTTGTATCGCAAGACACAATGGAAATGAATTATTCGAGAAAAAGGCAGCGGTTTTTAATTGATCAGGGCTACAGTTACAAAGTTATAACCAAACTGGCTGGTATGGACGACGAGCCTGACTTACTGTACAAAAACAGGGAGGACCAAGGGCAGCTTTTGCAACAGGTGAGCTATTTCCTTCAGTATTAGTGTTCTTATTATCCATTTGTAGGTGCTAGCGGCTAGTGATATTGATTGTGAAGATGAAAGGATTCCAGGTGAGGGAGGTCCAAGAGGTGGTCCTGGCGGTACAAGACGTGTGGGACACATGGGTTCGATGTCGGGGGCGGATGATGCGGTTTATTATGAATTTAAGAAATCGTCATCTTCTACTGCTAACAAACATCCATTGTTTAAGAAATTTAGAGGTTGAATTGTTGGTTAGTTAACCTCAAAATTCCCGCCACTTTCATTTACGAATATTAAGGGATAGCAACTTTTTGTGTAAATTTATATAAATAAATACTTACATTTTTATTAAAATAGGCATTTTAACTAGACGGTCACAGATACAAGAAATTAATTTGTAAATATTTTGAAATTCTTATTTTACCTAATTTTTTCTAAATCGAAATCGCCTCACAATACCATTGGACCAAGAATTGTGTTGATGTGCCTCTTAGACCATATAGTACAGTGCCTACATATAAACAATTGATTATACAGAGTGATGGCTATTTCATGTTAGCTAAGGAAGGTTAGTGAAATTAGAACTGGGATGTTCATTATCTTTCAATGTTCAACAAAATAGAGCTCTGAGTTGATCTTAAACTACTAGTTTGTTATATGTAGACATGTATACAAAGTGATTCAAAAGGTCATACAGGTCTAATTAGAGGTGTGATTTTGAAAATCGTAACGTAATATAAACATATTAGATTCTGAGGAGTTATTGAGAGATACATCGTTTATTTATAAATACAGATTACATCTAGTTGGTCATGAAAAGTAATTCGCTTACTAGACTTTGATCCGTTAGTGTTTTTATCTACAAGGTTCTTTTAATTAAATTAGCGTACTTTATTCCAATAGACTATCAAGAACATGGAATTAATTGATTTTGATTTTATTAAGCTTTTGGTATATCCGCAAATTTAAAAATAAATTTCAAGATTTCTGTTATTAGTAGCAATTCATAAAACAATAAAAGTCATGACTACCTATGCTACTAATAACAGAAATGTTTAAATTATTTTTAAATTTGCGGGTATACCAAAAGCTTAATAAAACATGTAAAAACAGTTTTGCATTCACCTTTTAATTCTGAACAACTTTAAACAGTTTTTTCTGTAAAATGTACAAGAGGGCAGGATATTGCATAAAACTAATTTTCTATGTTAAAGCCCTATGTTCCAACTTACCGTGCACCAACCGGTATATGAGAAGATATCGGAGGATTTAAAAAGCGTTTCGAATAGGTACTTTTGTGAAGCACCTTTAAAGAGTTTTTTAGGCACTTCTGTGGTACCTACTTTCAGAACAGAAAGAAAAATAGTAAAATTCTTTTGGTCTATAAAAGTCAAATGAAGAATCCTTTCCGCTTTACTGGGCAACCTTGCAACTCCGCACTCATATGCGTCATACCATCATCAATTATTTTATGCAGAAATCTGTTCAAAACATCTTTATAAACCTCCAATTGACTTGTTTCTTTTTAGTCAACCACCAGGGAACCCAAATCACTAATTCACTACTAAAAACTAAGTGGATTTATAAAGACACTAAACCTTCCCCATACTTCTTTTAATTGTTTCAGGTTTTAGATTTAATAATATATTTAATTTAAATCTAAAACCTGAAACAATTAAAAGAAGTATGGGGAAGGTTTAGTGTCTTTATAAATCCACTTAGTCAATTTCACACCGTTTTGAGTCGTTATAAGATGGATAGCTACCAATTACTTCTAAAAGCCATAAGGCTGCCGGCGAATTCCCTCCCCTGGTATGCAATACGTCCTTTGGTATAAAACTTCTCGGAGCTGTTTAATTCACCCTGTACATGAGCAAAGAAGCGCTTCTAGAGACACAAATAAAGAAACGAAGCCATACGCTTTTCTCACATAACCTCAAAAAAATACGTTATTTCGGCGTTTGTATTTGTAGGAAGTAATTAAAGTCTACAATCTTAAACGATGGCTTTCAAACCGCAAAAAGTTCAAAAGGTTATGGTTCAACCTATAAACCTTATATTTCGATACCTGCAGAACCGTTCACGTATTCAGGTGTGGGTGTACGAAAATCTAAATTTAAGAATCGAAGGCCACATCGTTGGATTCGATGAGTACATGAACCTTGTTCTCGATGATGCCGAAGAATACTACGTTAAGAAGAAGACACGAAGACCCCTTGGACGAATAATGTTAAAGGGCGAAAATATAACATTAATACAAAATGTAAATCCTCAATAAGCGCATAAATTATTCAATAGTTCTTTCTAAGTTTTCATATAAAATAAACTTTAATAAATAATTCTACTTATTTCGTTATTTACAAACATCAAAAATCGCACGAGCCGTCCAACCAGCCGTCTCTCCACCGCTCGTTTACTTTACTGCAGTCGAACTCTGGCTTGCCAATTTTAATGTTGACTTTATTATGCAGTTTACATAACCACTGACTAAGCGCTGTTTGATTTTCAACGTTGGGAGGATCAACCTTCAAACTAAAAATTACATTACAATCAAACAATCTACTAAATCGTTACTAACTCTTTTCGAAGATCTTTGGCACAGTACTCGCAGGGATAAAACTTTCCAAGTAAATTGAAGAACTGTTTCATGTCACGCTTTTGTTCTTCGTTTGGCTGATCGGGGTATTTACTGGCCATTGTGTGGAGTAAACCCCAAGTTGCATTACCCAGTTCGTCCTTATCCAACGGACAGTCCAACCTTATCGGCTTCTCCATCATCTCGTTGGACGATTTCTGTAATTAAACATTTTGGTATTATACTGGGTGAGTTGAGAGAAAACTTACATTACTTAATTCATTTGCATTTTGTTCAGCCTTTAATTTGGCTTTGGTTGATTTAAAGTAGTCACTGAAGCTGGTGCAGGACCTGCAGTTTTCGCTGTCCAAGGGGCTTGAGCGGTGCATTTCATTACGATATTTATGTCATTACGATATGATGTAATGTTTATCCATTTTACTGCTAGGGAGTAATTTTTTAATTATCCATTCAAGGCGATTGATTGACGTTTGTTGACGTTTCAATCCTAACCTCAAATATTTACTAAAAAATGAATATTTTACCTAAAAAAAGGTACGTTACCATTAATTAGGACATCATTGCGAGCACTTATGTTTAAATTTTCAGATGGCATGTTCGTACGAAGGAAAATATAGCACGAGTTCGTCGCGATGAAGCCAAGGCAGCTGCCGAAGAAAAGGAAAGAGAAGAGAGGGCTAAACTTGCTGTAAGGTCTTGTTTGTTTAGGCACTGTTTCATTTTGTATTGTAGGAGCGTGAAGCACGAACGAATTTATTACGTGCAAAAGCGAGAGAACGTCTCCAAAGTCAAGATTTCATAGCGTTATCTACTAAAGTTGAGCAACACCCAAATGAGCATGTCAACTTCTTTGAAGAGTTAGAAGATGGTACAGCTGAAACTAAGAAAACTAATAAAGATCACGAAAAAGAAAAGAAAGAGGAGCAGGAAAAGTATGAGAAACAAATCGGGTATTTAACTTATTTAGGACAGGATACAAATGAAGCGCTTGGTAAACGTAATTGGTACGATGTTGCACCTGACCGTTCCACTAAGAAGGAAGAGGTGAACCTGAAGAAAAAACTTCTGTATGATCCGCTGATTGAAATGAAGAAACATTTAGCTGTACCGACAGAAACAGCAGCAAAACCGGCCGTCATTCAGAGCACTCCGGTCTGTAGGAAACGCAAACGGACAAGGCGACACAGCTCATCTTCTGAACGAACAGTGCGTAAATCGCATAAGAAACATAAGAAGCATAAGCAAAAGAAGAGTAAGCGAAGTTATGCAAGTTCCAATGATGGTTATTCATCAGGTGATGAAGTGAGGAAGAAGAGTAAATTGGAGCAGTTGCGTTTGGAGCGTTTGAAACGTGAGAATGCCGAGCGAAAGAAGGCGGAAATCCTGATGGCAAAGATGAGAGGGGAGACTGTTGTTGCCGAACCCAAGCCTGTGGAAGAACGTGCAGTGAAGCAGAAATATAATTCTCAGTTTAATCCCGATTTGGCTAAGCAGAATTATATGTAGTATGTAGTGAAATTATATATTGGTGTGATATAAAATATATTATGTATTTAATTGTCTGTAAGAAGGGAAGTTTCTATTCCTTGTAATTGAAAAAAAATACGTTATATTATATTCGTTATGGCTGGCTGGCTGGTTGGCTATCCAGTTGAGATCTCAGCAAAAGCTATAGAGACCAAATTTTCACTAAAAGCTTTCTGCTATAGTGTAGATCTGCAGGCTCTCTAGTCTATTTTGAGTTTGATTACTCGTGAGATCGATAATTTTAAACTTTACCAATAAAATACTGATCTGTACATATTACCAAAAATGCGCTTGCATCATGCATATGCTGATCTTGTTTTTTACATATGTAGCAAATGCTAGAGCATATAGCATTGCAGGTGGCATATATCACACATATGCAGTGGTGTTCCCATAGGGTATACTCCATATTATACGCCGTATACTCTCAAGGATTTATCAAGACGCCACTGAACATGATAATTATACATCAAGCGAATTAAAGGTCGTATGTTATCCACAAACACTTTTTTTCCAATTTAGAGCGCTGAAATTGCGTTTTGAGTATCAAATTTTTAATAATTTGTTAGGGGATGACCCCCCCTCGCGTTTTAATGGGAACATCACAACCACCGGCTCAACTGAGTACACTCTCAAAGAAATTGATAGAACATCACAGCACATATGTAGCATTGTTTGTCTAACCTTCAGGCTTACAGTACTCTTGCTAGCCATACCATAAATTTAATATACAATGGCCATACCTTTGATCACTTAATTCAGTAGTTTTTCATTGAATAAGAAGAAGAATGGATAAGATTACTTATTCAATGGTAGTATCATTCAATAACGAAGTTAATTTTTCACTCAACGGTAGTAGGTATATAATCAAAGGCCATACTCAACCTTTTTGGGGGAATTTTTCGAAAGAAAAAAAATTCCCCTTATGTGATAGTGTTATCTGTCTGTCCGTCTCTGTTCCTCACCTAACGCGAGAACGAAAAGAGAGCGATATCAAACCTTCGCCAATCGTTTTCTATTAGTTGAAGGATCAGTGCGTATTTAATATGAGCCGAATTAATAGTCTGGTTTCCGAATGCGAACTGAGTGACAAAAAATTCCCCCACTGAAAATCGTATGCGATTCTTCGTATCCTGTTTTTCCTGGAAACACATCTTTATAATAGCTATTGGCTTTGAATATAAAATTAGTATATTCAAAGCTATTGGCAAGCGCGCCATAACATAGCAAATATAATAAAAAAAAGAAACAAGTACGAATTGAGTACTTACCTATAGCAAAGAATAATTATTAGTTACTCTTTGACAGTAGTAAAATAAGCCCGATTTGCGCACTCACTCGCTGTTTAACAAAGTTAATAACAAATACAGGTTTGCGCGTAATTATTGCATGAACTGCAACAACAAAAATGTGCGAAATAATGAAATTCGCAGAGTTGCTAATGTATGGCAAGCTTGGTCGATAAATTCTGCAATTCCGCAAATCCCGTGGGATCCCGCTCCATTTACGAACAGGATTAATTCCGCAAAAAGGCTGCGGGATCCCGGTATTTCGGGATCCCGCTATCCCGGTATTGCATTCCCTATTAACGTTACGTATACCTATCTGTGGTATTATAGATGCAGCCGTGGAAGTATGTGGAGTATGCGGAACAACTAATACACGTAAACAAACACCCTGGTGGAATGAAGAAATAAAACCGAAAAAAGAAGAAGTGGCAAAGATCTTTGGAAAACAGAAACGAAACAAATTACAGGATCTAACTACAAAGAACAGAGAAAAATGGTGAAGGAAAGTATAGCAGTAGCAAAAAAGAGAGCATGGCAAGAATTCGGAAAGAAATTAGAAAAACACAGTAAAGGCAACCAAAAACTGTTTTATAAGGTGTTAAAGAATCTCAGAAAAGGGAAAGCAACACACACTTCAATACAAGCGAAAGACGCTGACGGGGAAATTATCAAAAATGAGGAAAAGTAATGGAAAGATGGAGAAATTATTTTAAAAGCTTACTAGAAAATACACAAGAAGCAAATATAATTCGAGAAAGAGATAGAGATCAAGAAGAAAAAATTAGCACAGCTGAAGAAGATGCCATATCAATACATGAAGTTGTAGAAGCGTTGAAAGAAGTTAAAAATAATAAATCACCTGGGAATGACAAAATTACAGGAGAAATGTTGAAATATATGGGGCAGGGGACAGAATTACTACAGGGAATCTACAATAAAGCGTGGGAGGAGAAAAACATGCCTATAGACTATAGAGACTGGGAGATTAGCATCATTGTTCCACTACATAAAAAAGGAGATACGAAGAACTTTAAAATCTATAGAGGAATGACATTAATAGTCCCGAGTTGTCCATTTCAGTTTTTTGTTTATAATTTGTTCGTAGACTTACGCTTACTCACACTACTAATTATTAGTAGTGTGAGTAAGCGTAAGTCTACGAACAAATTATAAACAAAAAACTGAAATGGACAACTCGGGACTCGGACTTGGAAATTAAAGTACTCAGCCCCAAAGGGGCCTCGCACTTCAATCTTTTCATCGCCAGTAATGTGTCATTTTTCTGACTTTTATGTAAATAACTATTGTTTATTTACCGGGTAGAATAATAAAGTTCGGCGGGCCACATGCGGGCACACGGGGCGTAGGTTGAGTACCTATGGCTGTATACACATACAGTGCGGGTAAATACTAAAAGAAAATTGTAGTAGGAAAGTTCAGCTCTATGAAACCAATGAACAAACCATAATACTTTACATGACTGTTATTTATGTAGATACATGTCAGAAGTAGGTACTTTTTTTATCGTGTATCTTTGAGCGAAAGTTAATATTTTATATTTGGTTTCTAAACCCAGTCCATTATACTCCGGGAAGGAGATCGACATCATACAAAAACAGACCGACGAGAAAAATAGGTTATTTCAAAAGGACAAACTATAAACTCAGATACCATTGAATATTCAAAATTGTCTGACCGAGACATCTTACTGCATGTTATCGAACCAGCGTGACACATTGAAATACCATTGAATTTATAACTATATTTCAATGGATATACTATAGCATTGAATAAAAAATAATACTATAGGGAAAGATGCAAATGGGAATATCTCCAATATTCTGAGCATAAACTTAAAATAATATTCTCCATCTATTACAATATTCTTAGAACATATAATGCATAAATATACCACTTATAGAATATGCTGAATATTCTCAGTTTATTCTGAATATTCCTGGTATACCTATGAATTATATATACTATTTCGGATATTCTGAACTTAGACTTGAAAGAGCGGTACTTACTTTTTTCTCAATATTTTAGAACATGCTCTACATTTGACGCATATCACTACTTTACATTATGTAATTTGGAAGTGTGAATATTCACAGAACATTAATAAGGATATTAAAATAGGTATGTAGTATGCAATACAATCCTCACGTATCATGTAACTACGCTCTTATAAAAATGAAACATCACATATATTCCCAATTATCTACCTTGGAGGTGATATACACTACACAATATCGCACTAGGCAGTTGTTTCAGTGGCGACATCTAAATAAAGTTTCAGAACTTTAGCAGATGACATTTTAAACTGCATATAAGCATAGAGTAAATAACGTTTTTACTCTATCATATAAGTCATCCTTTTACATTACAATTTACAATGCATAATTGACGAGCTATAATAAAAATAATTTTTTTTTCAAAATGTGTCTAACGATATTAACGAACTAGGACATTTTATGTAGCTATTGTTCTTAAGGTTTGAAATTGAGACGTGCTTGTGACAAAACGAATATTCTCTGCACAACCAGCAATTTTAATATTAAAAGGAAGTGGGAAGACAACCTGATGAGAGGAAGAGACGAATGTGTAAACACAATAAATTTTATGAGAAACATCGGTATATTGAATAGGCTATAACCGTCAAAATATGCCAATTCGAAAAGTGAAGTAAGGCTAATGGCCACAGAAGCCGATGCCTATAAAAAAATAAATAAATAAAAATTCAACACTGAAAAATCAAGGAATATACCTTGAAATATACTCATAGTACTCTCGGTATATTCATTGCTGAATATTATCCTTGTAATATGCCTGACGAATGTACCTATATGTTAGGCGCAAAGACCGAAAACGGTCATTGAGCGAAAAAAACGGCCACAACGCGTTTTGGGTAATTTCAATTGACCACGAAGCGTTCTTGACGTTTTTTTCGGTTTGTGGGCGTTTAAAAACAGCCACTTCGCGTTCTGAATAATCTAACTGTACCATTACGCGAATTCGTGTTGCGGCTCTTAACTGTTTTCAACCACAACGCGTTCTAAAAATACCAAATATGTAGAACCCATTGTGACTAGTTTTTCCAATAGCTACGACGTGATTATTAAACATTCTGGGTAGTTTTCGTGAAACGGGCGGAAACTTTATTAGCTTAGGAACCACAACTTACAGAGAGCTACATACGATTTTTTGATACTATCTCTTCCTTGCGTAAGTGTTCTTTATTTATTTTTGCAAGAGCTGTTGGAGTGGCATTTTGAGTTACATTTCACGTCTTTGGATTTGCACTTGCACTTTTTGTCGCTGCAGTATCGCTTGCAATTGCAGCTGACAAACCCCTGTGTGCTTCCCGACGATTTCCCTGAAGCGGTCCTGATGGTTACCGTATTCGTTGGTACGTCGTTCTCATCCATGAACGTGTTAACAGGCGTGAACTCGTTTCTTCGTGCCTAGTTTATAAAGCCCAGAGGAGTTGACGCTCGTTACAACTGCTATGATGTTCCTTGGAGCTGTGCGGCCGCGATCGACGTCTGGAACTCTAATGGCAACGATTTTTTAGAACGCGTTGTGGTTGAAAACAGTTAACAGCCACAACGCGAATTCTCGTAATGGTACAGTTAGATTGTTCAGAACGCGTAGTGGCTATTTTGAAACGCCCACAAAGCGAAAAAAACCTAATGAACGCTACGTGGTCAATTGACATTACCCAAAACGCGTTGTGGCCGTTTTTTTCGCTCAATGGCCGTTTTCGGTCTTTGCGCCTAACATATATATTCATAGAACATTCTATGGCTATTTGGAATGTTCACATAGCTTCTAGCATGTTAAATTAATATTCTAAGAATATCCAATGCCCTGGGCAATAGGCGATGAACCAGGCGAAACTTTGCGGAGGAGTCAAAGAATCGTGGAAAGGGCCCACGTGCCCGATCTTCCCTATTTCAATGGAAACATTGCAAAGTGGCCATCTGTTAAAGCACCATTTGAGAGAAAAATGTGTTGTGGATAAAATTAGGGAAGCATTATATTCATTCATATTCAATAGCTCTTACGCCTTCTTGTACTCCAATTACAAAATTTGCTTTAATTTAATATCATCCATCCATGGAAACAAAACAAACGTCAAAAGTGTAAATGGCAAGCGGGTTTGTGTATTGGTATTAATATTGATTACATAAATCTCAAGTTGTTAAATTGGTCCTAGATAAAGTAGAGTATAATATATTAATCGCAATAATGGCTATTATACTTGCGGAATTTTACTCCTCAGTTCGTAAATATTCCTCGAGAATAATAGCTATCGTTATTGACTCGTGATATGCATCGGCGCCGATTGCGCCGGGGTACAGGGACACATGCCCCGGCTGGAACAATTTAGGGGGGGGGGGGCAATGCCACCCCTAGAAATTTCATATACTTTAATTAGTAAAAACAACAAAAAGGTAGAGTACAAGCGTATGCTTTTCGTTGTCTTGTACGGGTTTATTCGATTGAGGATGAATTGAGAGTATTTTTACACCTTATTTCTTTCCTTCTTGAGAAATTTTAAGTTTGAACTGCTCGTAGTTAGGTATATTTACTTATTATGTACATATAACATAAGTAGGAGAGTAAGTAAATTTTTGAAAATTTTAAAATACAGAAAATAGTATATTACAGTACAAGTGGAGAAACTAAAAGTTTCACTCACGCGTGTGTCGAGATTACACACGAGGCGTAGCCGAGTGTGGAACGACACACAAGTGAGTGATTTAGTTTTCCACGAGTGCTGTATAGCGTTTTGTTCAATCCTGTTACTAATAAAAATTTAAAAAAAAACAGTGTAATAGTTATTTTTTAAGCATCTGACAAAAACATAGTAGGTAGTTTTCGTTGTTATGGTTTCCATGAGATCTGCGTAAAACAATTGACACAATCTGTCAACAAATTACAATTGTAGCAAAAGTGTGCGCGTTTAGATTTCCGAGAAAATGGAAGATGAAAATAGTGTATTTGTGCCAGATAACATTTTGGAAGAAGCGAATGCAGCGACATTTAATTTATTACCGAAAAAATCCAAAGACATATACATCAAGGAGTTGGAAAAATTTCGGTCGTGGATGGAGAACAGAAACGTAAATGTTGTAATTGAAGAAGTAGTGGTTGCTTATTTCAATGGATTGATACAAAAATACGCTGCCCCTTCTTTATGGTCTGTATTTTCGATGCTTAAATGCACCTTATTTGTTTTTGAGAAAGTGGACATAAGCAAGTAAGTTTTAGTTCATTATTAATTTACTGGTTGTAATATATGAAATGTTTTAGGTTTAAAACCTTGTTCGCCATTCTAAAAAGTAATTCTAAGGGTTATCAACCTAAAAAAGCGAAGACATTTGATCAAAGAGAAGTGGAAAAGTTTTTAAATGAAGCTCCTGACGAGATTTACTTGCTAATGAAGATGGTTGTTGTGATGGGAGTTATGGGCGCCTGTAGGTGTGATGAGTTAGTAAATCTTAAAACCACTGAGATTCAAGATAAAGGGACTATATTAGTCGTTAGTATCACCAAAACGAAAAATTGTAAACCGCGTTCCTTTGTTGTGACTGATGTTGAAGGAAATAATTTTAAGTGTTTAACAATATATCGAAAATATGCAGCACTGCGTCCAAAAGCTCTCGGCGATGGAAGATTTTTCTTGAATTATCGATCAGGCAAATGCACAGTTCAACCAGTTGGCATAAATACTGTATCCAAAATACCTAGATTGGTGGCAAGTTACTTGAAATTGAAAGATGCCGACCTTTATACAGGACATTGCTTTAGGCGGACGTCGGCAACACTATTAGCAAATGCTTCTGCTGATATCCTTACCCTTAAAAGACACGGAGGTTGGCGATCCTCATCTATTGCTGAGAGTTATGTAGAAGAGTCGGTGACCAATAAAATCGAGATAGCGAAAAAAATTATTACGGGTGATAGTGGCAGTAGCACCAGCACCAATAACGTTTGTTTGCAAATTGGAGCAGAAGATGCTGCAAAAGTTCAAGTCCCTGGTATCAACCAACCAATTTTTAACAATTGTAATGTTAATTTTCATATTTATAAGTAATTTTGTTGCTTTGTATCTAAGTGATGAATTATGAATCAATAAAAGTTCAGCGTATGTGTATTATGAGTGGGTGAAAATTTTTCACTCACTCTTTTCGCTCACCCGTTGCTATGGAAATAGTTTGAATGGGTAAAACAAACACTTTCACATTTGGTATCTAAGTAAGAAACACTTGTTTTCAATGACAGGATTGAACAAATAAATTATCTTTGTGTCAAGTTTTTAGTAGAAATGGTTGTGCTCCCCTGGAATGTTCAAAGGTCGGCGCCTTTGGTGATATAATCTACTATTTTATTCAATGAATGATTCAAATTAATTAATATGACAGAGAGAGCTTCATTTTTTTTTAAGAAGTTATTTTGGTTGCATAAAATTAGGCACACTTAAAAAGGATTTTGTTATTTAAAATTAGACACAAGGAAAAGATACACGTAAATCCGTATATGAATATCAACGTATATTTTGGACACTATTCCAGAAAATTGTTTGTAAAAGCATATATAATTTAAAAAAATCGGCATTATAGTCAATTTTTGTTTTCTGAAAATGTTCGTTTCCGCTGCCACAAAGAGACTTTAAGCGATGGTAGAGATGAGGGTACTCCAAAAACCTTAATTAACGACGTATAATTATTAAACAATTTATTACAAATTATTTATATACAACATACAATAATTATTGTCAAAAGAGAGGAAGAAGTCGATGTAAATGGGGAATACAAATAAAATACTATATATTAACAATTATACCTATTTATATATAAAACAACAGATCCAGTTTTGTACATATAAACATGCATAAAACGTCGACTTTGTTTAAATTACACTTATGACACAAATGAAAAACATACACACAAATACAAAAAAAAAGAAACGTGACTTACATATACTACAAAATTATAACAATTCTAATACTAACATTACCTACCTTTTTTTGACATAATTCCCTGTTAAACATTTGAGAATACCGTACCCGGTATTTACTATATAAGCTACTTTTACTTATTAGAAATTTTGGTCATTTTTGTACAAGAGAAAGAAGAAAGATGAATATTTTATAGGCCTCAGTTTTGATTATATTTGTTCAGTCCAATTATCTCTTTGCGAAGGTTGAAGAGAAAAGTTATAAGCACGAGGGACGTAGGGGTATCTAACGAGGCTATAGGATATGTAAATTTTCGCAATTTTTGAATTTCGAATCTTCTTTGCCGAATAACCAGGTGAACATTTGGCGCGCCTTCATACTCGCCCTGACGACACCTCTGCTTTTGTACCACTGCTGTTGGTGGTGATCGCGATCGTCGTAGTGAAAACTTTTCAATCTAATTTGAGTTAAAATTCCTACGAGAAGCTCGTCTACGTTGTGGTTGATTCCTACGGAGATTTCTATGAACTTCGCCCGGTATGTGCAGGCTAGGCATTTGCCATCTGAAAATAAAGTGTTGTCTTAGTACATTTTAAATTTATTTTTGGATTTTGAAGTGTTTCTGTACATAAATTTGAGTGATAAATTTTCATTAACATAAATAACGCTTGTAATTATTTATAGTCGCGTTATATGGTGCAAGTGCAATGCAGATGTGGTAGGTTAGTGTGTAAAATAGAAATGTTTAATTATTTATGGAAACGTTCACCTCTTTTATTTACGAGGATGCGTAGCCCTTACTTTTCGCTTTTACACTAATACCTTGTAGTGTATTAATGACACTTGGAATAGACGGTTTCTTTGTACCAGCGACGGCACTTGGAGAATAAAAATATTAATCATTTTCACCCCTATTTCATGAAATACCTACTTATTTACATTCCTTGCCAAAACCACACGGACTCTATCTATATTTTAAATCTTTATTTTTCTTTAGCTTCTATATATCTTCGTCTCTCTCTCCCTCTCTACTGAAAAATTCGAGGAAAAATTTACATGCGAAATATTTACTTCCTATAAAACTGACCTTCAGGTATAAGGAAACTAACCCCCATGTAAAAAAATGTATCGGATTTTCTACCACCGGAGAAATCTCTCTCGAAATATTCGCCCCAAAAAATACCGGCGTTTAGTAAAAATCGAAGTATTCATCCTTCGTCCCTAAAACTGCTTTAGGATTTGAATTAAATAAACTTCTCCCCCGAAAATTATGCTTTCGTAGTATTCGTTTCAATAAAAATTAGCGACCAGATCAATTCATTTCTTAATATTTTCCTACAAAATTGATCTCCCAAGAACTTTTCCCTCCGAAAAATTCGCTTCTGCAAAAGTTGCCTTCGCTGAGTTATCTCCTAAGTAGATTTGTTTCTTTGTTCACTGTTAGTTAAACACGCACTAGTAAAATCCCCCACCTGGACTTGTTCCAGGAATATTTGCCTCCAAGAAAACCTTTCTGCCTGGAATATCTTCTAGGGCCCGATTTTTTAAAGCAATGTATATAACCTTGTTACGTTCGTTTCGCTCGTAATTCAAATGTAGTATTCTTACTTTCGTTTATATTTAAATTTGACGTTGTACTTTATATTCTTACGCCATGTAAGTGTTTCGTTGGTAGGTAATTGACTAGCTTTAGACGTAAGTTAATTCCTGTAGAAAATTTCTTATTGTCCTGAACCCAGAAGTCATGCATATTTCTGATAACAGATGCACATGAATTAATGTATCTATATCTTTCTTTAGAGCAAGTTCCTAGGGCAAGGACGAATATTCCTTGGAAAGTGAATACTCCATGATGGTCGACCATTTCGGTGGCGTGTTACCCAAACAAAAATGGTTTAGCAATTAACGGCAATCTTAGGGTTTGGGTCCAAGGTGCAAAGAACATTCTGTTGCGTCATATCTGTATTGGTAAGTTACATAAAAAAGTCATTTATATTAATCAAAGTTGTGCATCCAATTTGTTTATAATAAATGCAACAAAACGGCTACCGGTAAAAATGTTTATGACAATTAATTCAAGTTTTTGTTACCTGTTAAAACCTTAAGTTAAAATATCGGCTGGGATGTAATGGTAATGAATCAATATTTTACAAAGTTCCACGTTTTCGCAAAGATCCTCGTCTTTTATTAGGTTAGTTATATGATGTATGTTTGCCGCCGTGGGCGCAGAGGGGCGAGTCTACAGGAGAGTCCTTTGGCTCGGTCGGCATGGGTATGCGCTTTTCATTTTGTATCGGGAACCGCATACGAACGGTTGGTTTAAGCCGATCTCACCGTCGCGTCGGCTCGCTCGATATTAGTGTGAACTCTGTTTTTGTGATCGGAAACGTATAGCACGCTCTAGAATTTCGGGAGAGCGGTTGATTTATTCCAATTTGCATTCGGTTCGCTTGGTATTGGTATGAACTCTGTGTTTTGTGACCGGAACCGTATAGAAAACTCCAGAATTTCGGGTGAGCGGTTGATTTATGGCGATCTCGTCTTCGACTCGCTCGGCATGCTGTGAACTAGGTGTTTTGTGACCGGAACTATACAGGGTCATTCTTGACGAGCGTCAGTTAGAAAGATATGGAAAACCTTTGAAAATTAAGCTGAACTGATAAGTCCCTTAGAGGTTTTGGCACATGATGATTTGAACTAAAATATTTTCAAAATGGCGCCACTTCCGGAAATACCGGAAGTAGCCATCAACTTTGTTATTTTAAATAGGGACCCCCTATTTTTTCTACATTTTCGGATTCTACGTCGAATTTGGAGTACAACGATACCCCATAGTTAACTCTTTGCTCCAAGGGCTTCGCCGATATTCAAGTTTTTGTGTCAAAAATTGAATTTGCAGGGGTAACTTTAAAAATTTATTATTCGAAAACGGTGAGAGATATTGCAAAACAGTTTTCAATGCTTTATTAAGGAAAGATCAAATTTTCTTATGGTATGCGTAACCGTCTAAAAAAGTGAGACTACGTCACTTTTTCAAAGCTCTCAACTTTTAAACTTTTAAACATCCGTAACTCCATTTTTTCAAATGGCACCCCCCATTTTGTTCTTCACCCTTGTTTTCCTTTTTCCCAGACTTTTAATTTGAAGCAAAATTTCAAAAGCTGCTTCAAACGGTTTCCGAGATATTCCATGTTTTAGTTACTTCTTGTGGAAAGTTGATAAAAAAATTAAATCGCTTGATGTTATTCTTTTGTTTTTATTATGATAATGTTTAAACGTCAAATTTTTGTTGCTTATACTTCTCGTCAATAATGGCTCGTTTGTGTTACACTAATGAAGATTTTTTGAATTTAATATTAATACACGGTGAATGTAATCGAATAGCTGCCAGGAAAAGCAGCGAAAATTCTTGGTTCTTGGTTGGAGAAACTATCGACATTTTCATTTGATGGATTTACAAAAATTGAAGGAACCGAAATAGCCTATTACTTACGCGAAAAACGTTTCTGTTTTAATGTCCTTGTTTTTGAGGTTATAAGCACTTTTTTTTATAAAACTTCAGCGTCTCATTTTTAATTAATTATGTAAAAGTAGCACAACTAACTAATACAAATTTACATAAAATCAGTACCTATAGTTCAGTATGCTGATAATTTTGACCTGCAAAAGGTGGTGTAAAAGATTTTATTGTTTTAAATGGTCCATTTGGGTCCAAATAACATGTATTTCAAGAGTGCACACGAATTTTTTCCCGGCACAACTTTTGGCAGCAAAAAAACCTCAAAATGTTTGTCATTTTTTCAGTTTTTCCTGGATAGTTGTACCTAGTTGAATTGGGTGTAATGGTGTAATAAATAATATTCAAAATGTTATTTATCGTTTATTTTTACAAGCGTATTTAAAAAGCGTAGATATATAGAATCATGAATAATCTACTTGCGCATAAAAATTTTTAGTCTTTACGACAATTCTCTGGTGGAGAAAGGTATCTTCTAAAAAGATATCGGCTTTATTATACTTGTATTATAACCCAATTTAACACTTACGGTCCAATTCTGATGTAGTGTTATTCGACGTGCTCGCAAACAGCCATATATAATGGTCACCGAAAAAGGGCTCCATATAGAGCAGCACGTCCCGTTTTTCTTGAAAATGTAAATTATGTGCGCAGGAGCACAGCACATTGTATCCCTAAGAAAATTAATTTAAAAGATATAATATATATAACTCTCGCCAGGAAAGATTGCCGGTCACAGAACACTTGATCCCGATCTACAATCTCTGTTTTTCGTAAGGTGCTAGCGATTTCCGGGATAGTATCGTGTCAATGTTGAACGAAAAGACTTTTTGTTCAACATTAGCACGATCCTATTCCAGAAGTCGCTCGCATCTTAATAAAAACAAAGATTGTACATCGACACAAGGTGTGCTGTGACCGGCAATCTTTCCTGGCGAGAGTTATATAAATAAACCTACCCGCGGCACAAAATCACACACTTGTTTGTACACCCATTGACACTTATTCATATCAGATTCTTGTTGTTGTTGTTGGACCATAATCGCATGCTTTTTAAATACTGTGGGATAATATTAAAATAATTTATATTTATACAGAACTTGCGCATCCGTAAAGATAGACACATTTCCCTTTTAGTCAACAATTATCTAATATGTGAATAATAAGTATATGGAAAATAATGTTATATCTATGCACATAAAGTATAGCATCCTCTCATAATTATAAAAAGTGAGATAAACCTCATGCGGTTATTTTTCTCTTTCTTCTTATCTAAAATTCTCGCAGTAAGTTCAAAGAGAACTTGTGTTTTTTACATCTAATCTGCTATGAATAGACAATAGGATGTTGCATCCTCTATAAAACGTTAGATTATAAGTATGTAGTATCCTCTTGCGAATATAAAAAACCTTATTTGCTAGTAGTTCACTTGTACCTTTTCCTACTGTGATGCTATAATAACATGAAAATTGATTAAGATTTTTTTTTCAGAAAACAGAATCGTAATTAACCTTTCGGGCCACGCACGAGGTTGAAGGACCTATTTTAGTATGGTATCCTGTTGTGTAAGAAATACTTGTGTTTAGATCAAATTCGTTTTTTGTTAATGAAATTCGAATAAATATAAAATATTCAATTTAGTCCGTTTTGAATTTTTTGCCACTGTGTATTGGAGTAGCACTCAAGTATACACCCCTTAAAACTCGAAAACGGTCCATATTTTATGAATAAAACTTCTTTAGTAAATTAAAGAAAATAAAATTCTGCGTGGATAAAAAAAACTAACAAAATCGGTCCAATAGAACAATTTTTACAAGCGATCAAAAAACGCCCATTTTTTCCAACGAATTTCAAAAATTGGTCCAATTTTAAATTGTTGCTACTTTTTGAACTCTTAGATTCATGTCCTAAAATATTTAGGGAGGGGGGTAGTAGATTTTATCGTTACTTTAGGAGTCACAACGCATTAAAAAAATGTTAACTCAGTTTTAATAGAAAAGTTGGAAAAAATGGGCGTTTTTTGATTGCCTGTAAAATTTTTCTATTGGACTGGTTTTGTCTGTTTTTTTTTGATCCACGCAGAATTTTGTTTTCTTTAATTAAGTGTCGCCGGATCAATTTCATGTTTAAAAAATTATTTTTAAAATTGGTGTAAAATTTATGCTGCCCGACGGTTCTTTTCGAAATGGCTCATAATTAACATCTAATTATGATTTTTTTCAAACTGTTATTTGGATAAATAAACATTAAAGGATAACAAATCATTTAACATCGTTTGGCACAAAAAGCGTTTGTCTATTACAGTTCACTTTCACTTATGAAGACGTAGCCCTTTTAGATTAGTATATTTTAAATTTGTTTGTTACATTCTCTATATAAGTAAGCGGATTGGGCCTTGGGGTCGCCCTAAAAGCGATTGCCTTTGAGAAGAATCTTACCAAGTAAACCGCTCTAGTGATTAGGGTAATAAGTACTTTAAGATTCTTTTTAGGTTTGCGTGTACGGGTTTTAGAAGGATCTCCCTTTCTCGTATTTTTGATGAAAAACGGTGTTGTTATAGAGCGGTATACTAAATTACGAAGAACTCCAAACAAAAAAATTCTCAAAGAATTACAACGGAATATGGGTTGGACAATTGCAAGACATGCCTAATCTATCACCCTGCACATCCTCGTTTTCTTTGTGTAACAAATGTCAATTTCATTTCAGTTTCTACGGTCGAAAATTGGAAAAGTTTTAAAGTGACGAAGGCCTAAGTTCGAAATGTAGGTATTCCCACGTACAAAGAGCAATTAAGTTCTAAAATACAAACCTTGAGTGGAAACAGCACGACTACGAGCCAAATCAATCTTGTTAGCCACCAGAATCGCCGGTCTTGCCCTTAAAAGGTCCGCATCTTGAAGTCTCGTAAGTTCGGCTTCTGCCTTTAGGTAACTGGCCTTGTCGACGACCGAATACAGGACGATAAACGCGTCCGGTGGATGAAATTTATCGATTTCCTGCAAATGAAAATAAAACGTTAACAATTCGCCTATCAAAAATGCACACATTTCCTTTAAATTCAAGTTTAATTGTTTAATGACCGCAATTTGCGCAATCCCTTTGGCGTATACCTAACCGAACGTTGCAAATCACTCAACTGCGCTACGTTTTTGAAGCTTTACAACCCTCTAGAAAAGTGAAATTATCGTTTATGCCGCATTTTCTCCGTTGAAATTGCGGTGCTCGCGGAAACGGGCATTACATAAATTTGTTACATTTAAAATTATTCGATGAAAACGTGCACTTTTCACAAAAACAAAGTTAATCATCTGTAAAATTTTCAAGTAATAATTTCATACTGTTATTGCAAAGTAGTGATTTTAGTCACTTTTGCCGCTTCATTTTCATTTTATCGAGTGTATTTGTTAATTGCCTTATACTCGTATGTACTCATTTTAATTTATCTTTGGTTTGCGTATACATTTTCATCTGTAATTACCCTAACTTCTGTTTGTATGGCGGATTGGCGGTCATTTTAAATTTTGGAAATTGCATAGCACAACCTAGTAATGTTATCCTTATCATTTTACCTGTAACTTTCACCCTAACGAAGTTATTTTAGGAGACAGATTCGTGCATTCATCATGGATTATGCGATATCGATGTGTTTAATTACTTTAAAAATTGTTCAAAATGGTTACCATGGCTTTGCACACATCCTCTACTTCTACATCGCTTTATCATTTCTTCTCGAACAACCCGTTGAAGTATTTCGGGTTTATTCCTTATTTCGCCAGCAGCAGTAACTACTGTTGCTACAAGATCTTCTTCCGTTTCCTATTCGGTTTCATATACCAAGGACTTTATTTTCCCCAAAAGAAGAAGTCAAGTCATCTGGTGACCGCGCGGGCCAGCTAGTAGGGCCTCCTCGTCCTATCCATTTATTGGAAAAATCTTCTATTTAAGGTTGCCCTAACACTCTTGATGAATGTGCTGGAGCACCGTCATGTTGAAACCACATCCTTATTGCCTAGTCAGTAAGGGTAAATCCTCTAAAAGAATCGGCAGCAAATAAGGACCAACGAGGTGACTTTCCATTATCCCTGCCCATACATTGATTGAAAATCGGTCTTGATGTCCTCGTGTGGATTTTCAGCGTCCCAAATATGACTGTTTTGTTAATTATAAATCCCATCACGGTCAAACGTTGCCTCATCTAAGTAGAGGATGCAATCCAAAAACGTTCTGAACCAGAACATCCTCCTCAAACTTATGGGTCCTTACTGGTCTCACAGGATTACCTTGCCGAGTTGCACTTAACGATCCAGTTTCAACCAATCTCTACCGAATTGTTTCATTGTTTCAAAATAGCGACGATCAGGGTATCGTTTGTGATAACGAATTACAGCTGCCCTAGAAGGTCTAAGTTTCCAAAAGGCTCCATTATATATCAAATACAAAAAGATGGCAATTGACACTTATTGAATACTGAATAGAACTGCGATTTTCAAACAAATAATAGTTATTTATTATACAAGACGATAAAGGGATATTTTAATTAACCATTCAGTGAAAGATATTAAAACGTCAAAAACAGCAAGCTTAGGTTCTGCCGTCGCTATAGAAACAGAATTGTCATATGTCATTTTATATCGTGCATTTGAAATAAGAATGACAGATGTCATTAAAATGCACACTCATCTGTTCACTTTATCTACCTTTAAGGTTAAAGTGATCGCTTTATCTATCCTTACGGTTAAGGAACGGCTTAGCCTACTCATCGAGGGGCAAACCACTGTGGAATTCTGCGGTACAATCCCTTGGAATTCATGGAATTCTTATGGAATTGGCACATTAATCTGGTGTTTACAATATGTAATATGTTTGCTTCTACTAAAAGCATCTTCGGTTAAAATTTTAAACAAATATCTGCGCATGCGCATTTTAATCTTCAAGATTTTCCTTGGCTCAGGTTCCAGAGTTATATACACTACCGGATGCAAAAAGAACGAACTTAATGTCTTGAAAATAATTTTCAAGACAATTATTGTAGGAGTAGCTAAGGCCTCGGACAGATGGACAGACGGACGGACAGATAAAGTTGCTGCAATAGCGCACCCAACTTCGTTGGAAAATGCGCCAAAAACATCGCTTTCAAAACTAGTTGTACTAATAACGAAGATGACATCTTTTGGACAGACAAAAAATTCATTTTGTCATCAGCTGACAAATGATTTATAGTAAGATGTTTATCCTCTCATAGTATGGTCACATAAATGCTGTCAGTTTCGGATATACAAGAAGGCAAACTCGTGCCGACTTATATCCTAGCTTACATGCGTAAAATCTTAACTCCTTTTGCTGGGTGTAACTAGCGAGAGAGGAAAGGGGAGGCGGGATTTCTGCTCGGATTTCTGTCAACGCCACAGATTTTGGTTTCGTGTACTTGTACTTGATTGCGTGTTGTAAGTTTATTATGCTAATAATATAATATAGGATCCGGATTATATAACAAAGAAATGCTCATTACTATAACCGAATGGATACGAATGTGTTGACGTACCTACCTTACGTTTTGCAAGAAGTACCTATAATTTATTTTTGAAGGTCACTTGAATTCATTGGAATTCTTTTTGGAAGTTACTGGAATTCAATGGAATTCTTTGGAATTCAGTGTAATTCTTCGGAATTCAGTGGAATTCTTTGGAAGTCACTGGAATTCTTTGGAATTAAATGGAATTCTTTTGCAGTTTTGGCAATTTTTTGAGTCTCATGGAATTTTTTTGGAATTCTGGTGTACACAATTTTGCTCAGTGGTTTACCCCTCGCACCTCATATGCTATAAAATAATAGGATATTATGCAATGAGCATTTAATTACGCCTATTAAGAAATGAGTATGAGAATTACGAAACGAGCCTTGCCGAGTTTCGTAATAAATACGAGTGTCTTAATAGCCATTAAATGCGAGTTTCATACACTATTTTTTCTACGACTATGATGAGCTATAAAGAGATGATGCTACGATGGCTTCAAAAGCGGTCCAAAATTTGAGATTTTTATTGTGTGCAAGTAGCGAAGTTACCGACCTCAACGCATGCGCACTGCGCAATCATGATAACACGTTCCCTATCAAATTTTTCAAGGTGACCGCCGATTAGAATGTTATGATTAATTCATAAGAAAACGAACCACCAATTCACTATGCCCAGCAGTTGTCAAAACTAATACATTTTAGACCTGTCATTGTTATGGCAACTTTGATTTTCATAAATTATACGTCGTGTTCCCGTGAAGCTGCATTTCTATTGGTCGTAAACTTGTATCATAACGAAAAATCGAAATGACTATTGTTTAAGTACGGGTAGCAAATGTTTAATATATTAATTGAAGTATATAGGAGTAGAAAAAAAAAACCATTAAAGTACCTAAGAAAGTTTCAATTGTTTCATTTGTGTGAATAATAGGTACATTGATATCGCAACATCCATGATGAATGCACGAATCTGTTGCCTAAATAAACATCGTGCTATTCAATTTCCAAAATTCCACCATTTTGTTGTAAATTTTTTGTAAAAAAGTTTTGTACAAAGGTTGTAGATATTAAAATGTTCATTTCAAAAAACCTTGAATTTTTGAAATCCGACTACAAATAATGACGATGACGATCTCTAATAACCAAAAAAGGTCCAAAATGAGAAAAATTTACTTTGAAAAAGTGTTTTTTGATGATTTTAATAACCACTATTGTGTTGTCCACTCTCAGTAGAAACACCCTGTATAGGTTAACTTATCAATTTAAAATTTCTTAAAAACTAAGAAACTTAGGGACAACAAAAATTGTAGGTAATGCGAAAAGCTCTACAAAAAAGTCCACTGTGGTTTTTTTGTTAGTTTCTTTGTTTTTGAGAAATTTTAAATTGAAAATTTATACTTAATGTTTTTTTGCACTTTTCTCGAAAAGTACGCCTCATTGCGAAAAATGTTAAATACAAAAATGGTGTGTCTTGATTAGCTGTACAAAAAAGTCACTTTTGCCTGGAGTTCAAAATAAAGGCGCCAGAGGGAAATATAGTCAGAAGTTTGACTAAAATTTGAAAAAATTGGCCGCCCTCCCAGCCTTACATCCACGAGATTTCGCTTGCAGATACCAAGATTTCTACTTGACGATCTATCGGGATACTTTGCAAAAAAATTAGGCATGTAACGATAGCTCACCGTCTATAAGCCAAGCTGGTAATTCTGCGTATTCATACCTCAACAGATGATTCCTTCCAAAAGTTAAAGAATAACGAAAGTAGTATCGCAATACTACCATGCACGGGGCGTCATATAATCAATTACACATAATTAAAAGAAAAATGATTAATTAAAGGCTTTGATAAAGTTCGACCCAAATGCATTTGATAGATTTATTATAATCCAACCACAAAACCGTATTTTCCAGGTTTATAAGGTCTCACATTCCACCATATTCAACCAGATCGGTCATGATGAAATTGCTGCTTTCAATATTTCTGCTGGTGGTCTTAAACGTAGCTTGGAGCAATGGTTCCTTATCCTATTCCGGTAAGTTTATTGTATTGCTATGGCAGTTATGCAATCTAGTATTCGGTAGGCTATGCTAACTGTGTTGTGCACGAGGACTGCATGGACCAAATTGCGTGCGGTGTGGGTTATCAGCCACGTTGTTCGTTTGTACGTTGCCAGTGTGAGAAGGAAATACAGAAACAAGACGTTACGGTAGTAACACTGTAATGATTTTTGAATAAATTTGTTACACTCCAGCATCATATATTATAATACCCTTATACTTCAACATGTGTTTGTACTAACAATACAAAATAAAGACAAATGTTTATCTAACCAAGTCATAATTGCAGTGTGGTTAGTTATAATTGCAATTTATCGAATTTCCTCTTTATTACAAACTTATCGGGTACGTACCTAAGCGATTTGTGCACTCAGAAAACCGCGACTCTATTTCTTCCGATTTTTTCACACAATCTGCAGCTATATAAGTCTATTCTAGTTCACGACAGGGCGAGAGTCTGAAAAATTCGCAACGATGAAGTTCTTCTTGTTCGCGTTGTTGCTTATGCTAAATATTGTTTGCAGGAGAGCAATTGTGGGTATGAGCTTGCTAATTTTTTTAAAATGTTTGTTCACTTATTTTGTTGCAGCCCCCATGATCTTTTGCAGTAAAAATTTTGGATGCAGGGATAGGTTGGAGTGTGGTTACAATCATTTTCCTACCTGTATGGGTAACTACTGCATATGTCGTTAAGTTTGATTTTAATGTAAAAATGCTGTAACGTTTTCGTAATCAGTAGTTAAATACATCTGAGAGAAAAGGATATTAGTTTTAACTTGCGTTGACACTATCGGCAAAGAAAATGAATTTTGCCTAGAGGTAAATATTCTTTAAAATTTGAAAACCTCATAAATACATTTTATCCAAAACCGTCCAGTAGAGAAGAGTTCAATTTTCCTTTAAATCCACTAGTGGATAATATTTCGATGTTTTACCTCTGGGATTTGCCGAAAGTATTGTCGAGGAGTGTCCAGTATACCCCGCCGTATCTGGTAGCCCCAACTACTCAGCTATGGTTGTGGAAATCTTTGATAGATTGTTTATCCCCATGGGTCGAACTGTACATTTTCCTTGTATGTAGTTCACAAAGAATCTGCAATCGCGACCGAAGAGAGTGTATCTCTGTTACAACTTCTGGGGACATTAGTTTTTGTATCCAATAACCTAAATACAGTTACTCTCCTTTAACTTGGATGTTACCAATTTACAGATTCACCAACTCATTGCATCGACACGCACCAGCCTTAATAAACAACTTACCGTACAGTTCATAAATATCAATTAGCACAATATACCTTTGCCATCAAAAATTCTTTCTCTGGAACCTGTTTTAAAAACCTTTCCCCTTCTCCTCTGCCGAGAGTCCTTGCGTTTTCCAGCTGCCCATATTTTGAAATATCCACCTTCATATATGTGGTCCTTATATCGCAAACTTACTCCACACCAACGATACAGCGTACTATTCTTCGAAATGTAGGAAGAAAACTTGCTCCATAACGTGACTTACGTTTTTCAAAACGCACCGTTTTTCAAACTCCGCATGTTCTTTCTTATACGCGCTTCGGGACTTCAAAGGCAGCGAGCATACGTATCACCAATTTCTTCAAGAACTAAATCCATTCCGTACGAATTTTGTTGTCAACATTTTTGAGGTATATACTCAACTAAATAACCACAACTCCATGGAAACCTCGTCATAAGCAGCTTAAATTTGTTTCATGTAGGTAATGAATTTGTAATTGTCTGATTATGGTTAAGTTAATGTAATAAAAGTAGGTATTAGTATATACATAATACAATTTTAGGTTTAGTTCGACCTACACATAAAATAAACGCGTAAACAAATATAAACAAGTATAAATTTTGAACAACTCTTGTGCAGAGAGAGCGCATTTTTTAACCGAAATAGCTTTCGTTTTGACATCACCAATGGATACATTTCTTGCAGACGTGTCAATCGCCCTTTGTGAGTACCATCTTCCGACAATCCGTGAGGTACAAGGGATATACCCGATCACGATAAGAGGTCGAGGATGAGGGCTATGGTTTGTAGAAATTAATTCCTTTCGTTGAGACCCTTCATTAGAGTACCATGAAGGATAAAACTAGTTCCACTCCCCCCCCCCCCTCCACCCGGTACTTTGATAAGAGGACAAAAAGAAGGGCAGTAGTTGGTAGAAAACGGTTCCTTTCGTTGAGACCTTTAATTAGAATACAATGAGAGATAACATTAATTTTTAACCCCCCACTCCCTTAGCGCCCCCTAGCCCCCCCATCAGGCCCCGTCGCTCACTGATCTCGAAAAAGAGTCGCACGGGAAAGTTATAATCTGTGCAAACCAACTTATTTCGATGAGACCTTTCATTAGAATACCATGAAGGGTAGAACATGTGTTTACCCCCACCCCCTCCCCATTATAGGTTAGTGTTTAACTTGGCACCACTAAAGGCATGCGTAGTCAAAATCTGAGACCAATTGGTTGTCGTATGTAAAAGTTATGCACGTTTTACTTTCAAAAACAGCATCTCAGGAAATAAGTCTTAGGGGGCCCCCCTTTTAGAAAGCGAAATTTGATGGCCGTCTGGCACAGCTTTAAGGTATAGGCCCAGGACTCTAGGACCATTCCCCTAGAAGTAGTTCGAAATGGCAGAAGTATTAAAGAATTTAAAAAAATGTGCCATTGTTTGCGTTTTGTCCGTCCGTCCGCCCGTCCGTCCGTCTGGGTCCACTTTTGCCGTTTCGAACTACTTCTAGGGAAATGGTCGCAGTAGGTAGCCTATATCTTGAAGGTGTCCCAGATGGCCATCAAATTTCGCTGTGTAAAAGCCCCCCCCCCCTCCACGATTTTTTTTCCTGAGGTGCTGTTTTTGAAAGTAAAACGTTCATAACTTTCACTTACGACAACGAATTGGTCTCAGATTTTGCATACGCATGCCTTTAGGAGTTCCAAGTTAAACTTTAGAAAATGGGGGGGGGGGAGGGGGAGGTGGGTAAACACATGTTCTACTCTTCATGGTATTCTAATGAAAGGTCTCATCGAAATTAATTGGTTTGTACAAACTATAACTTTCCCGTGCGACTCTTTTTCGAGACCAGTGAGGGACGGGGCCTGAGGGGAGGGGGGACTTAAAAATTAATTTTATCTCTCATTGTATTCTAATTAAAGGTCTCAACGAAAGGAACCGTTTTCTCTACTACCTTTCTTTCTGTCCTCTTATCAAAGTACGGGGTGGTGGGGGAGGGGGGGTGGAACTAGTTTTATCCCTCACGGTACTCTAATGAAAGGTCTCAGCCCTGGTCTCAACGAAAAGAATTAATTTCTACCAACCATAGCCCTCCTCTCGACCTCTTATCGTGATCGGGTAAATTCCCTTATACTTCAAGAACGGATTGTCGGAAGAGGGTACTCACAAAGGGCGATCGAGACGTCTGCAAGAAATATATCCATTGGTGACGTCAAACCAAAAGCTATTTCGGTTAAAAAATGCGCTTTATCTGCACAAGAGTTGTGCACAATTTATACTGGTTTTAAAAATTAACAACTCCACCTTCAAGAGCAATAAAAGTTGCTGTGAAGTGTCCAATAATACTAAATTACGTTTATGTCATCCTTTTACATTAAATGCATTACAAACACCCTTGTACTATAGATTTTAAATACCTACGTGACGATTTCATATACTCTCCGAATATTCTCTATGAAAAATGAGATCCTGAGGTCCTACAAAAGTAATTAAATAAATAAAAACGTTATGATGACGTCACTATGTTTTGCTCTGGTTCAAATATTAACACACATTCGCTGTACTTCTTCCTCTTCAGTAAAGGTTCTGCTTTCGCATTAATTATATGAAAATTTTTTCTTGGTACGCCATTACTTTTCCGACTTCGCGTCTACCTGAAAGGGCATAGTGTTTTAGCTTTACCATATTTATGTTCCTCTTGATGTCTGTGGCGGCTCCATTAAAGCTTTTTTACGGATTTGTACTTGTATTTAAACAATACGAGTATGTTGCATTATTACGTTTCACATTACGTATGATTTGTAGGGATTTACCTTCGCTCAAGTTTACCTTCCCTCAACCCTTTCTCTTGAGTTTTTATCGTTCTTTCTTTTGACTTACCTTTTACGCTGATCTACTTGTATATTACGTATTACTCACTCAGTACGTGGACGAAGCATTTTTAGTTGGACTCACCATTTTAGCTAGATTGACAGTGGCGAACGTCATGCGATAGATGAATGTTTCTACATTACCGGCTTGTGATTCTGCCACACATGAAAGTTGTTTGTACTTGGAGAGATTTGACTTGACGGATATCGACACACAAATTTGTGGACGATTATTCTTGTTACTACGGAGATTCATTCTGTTAGTGTGATTACTACATTGTACCCTTCAGCTGTGTTATTTGTGATATTAGCTACTGTTGCTTTGCCAAACAAGTCACCGAGACTTTGTCCGAAGCCGAAGTTTTAGTCCAGTTATCCGAAAAATCGGCTCATATTATCCTGTTTATGTTTGTAATTGATTAGATCAATAGAAATTTAGTTATTTGTGCATCGTATAAAGTATTTTTTTTAAATTTAACGTCACGTTCAACCCATGGTTGATCAAAATTCTGCTTTTGCGTCAAAAGCCATTCGAATTATTGATTCTTATTGTGTATTAATTACAGGTTTTTATATACCATTGCCTCCGTGTCAGACGTTAAACATTGCTTACAAAATATTTTATGTGCCGCGTGATTCACTACCCCTTTTATTTGTTTTAGTGTCTATAGGATTTTTTTAGAAGAATCTTAGAAAAAAACTACAAAATTTGACCCTCACAGCGCGACAAATGAGTCAGCAAACGAACGCTGTTCATTCTTCGGCATAACAATTAGGTAGGTACTCAATATGAAAGTATCACCAGCGCACATTTGTAAGTTCTTTTACAATATAGAAAATTCGATAATTTAGACTATTTCAGAAGCGAAATCGTAAAACCATCGGCTATACATTTTATCCTATTTTTCCTTTTTAAAAACCTCCCTTAAGTGCATTTGAAGTTGGGCAATCGTAAACGTTTTACAGCTAACTGCGCCGTAAAAAATAATTCACCCTACCAATTCTGATATAAAAGAAGGGAAAGGGCACATTGTTAAGCTTCAGGATAAGAACGTTTTCTTTAAAATCTTTCGTAAGGAAATTGCATTCTCCTCTGTTATATAATTGCACATTGTCCTCTATCAAAATAAAAAACGAAAGTGCAATTACTTTCCAATCAAACTTCCTCCACTAATTGGTCAACGACCGTTGTAATTAACCACACATTATAATAATTATGCACGGGACAATAAATTTTCAAATGGCTTCTTTCATAATCTGTTTTCATTTTCCGTTGTTGAGCATATGAGAATACCAGATTATCATATTTCTGCTTTTTTGTTGTAAACACTGTTTTATATTCATACGGTATTTTTAAAGAACATTTTGTAAATATTGCAGCTACAGTTTCAAAGGATCACCTTTTTTACTTCCGTTTGTGTCATTGGAACGTGCTACAAATCCATTACAAATTTTGGAGATGCTTTTAAAATGTAATGTAAATGCGTTACAGGACGTACTGACATTATTTGCGTATCTTTCAGTATTAAAGCAACTTTTATAAAGCTCGTTTAAATCCATCCAACCTATGAACTTTTTGCTCCGAAGTACAGTTTTTATATTTTGCGTGCTCGTCTAGGAATAAATCCGCCGCAGTTGCTCTTACAATA